CCCCCCCGCTCCGCCTAATCGGGATCCCTGGCAATACCCAGAAAACCTATTTTTAATTGTAAAAGATGGTTGTACAAAATGCATGGATGTCGCTTTTGTATTTTTGATAATATCAAAAATTTATCGTTTTCATTCAAGCGATTTTGATTAGAAAAAACGAAAATTTTGTCTTCAAAAAAAAACTTTTTAATAAGATATTTATTTACCGGAAAGACATGATTTAGTTGCCGGTTGTTGCTTCATTCCTTGATTTTTCTTTTTTGTACTTGCTACCAATTCAGGTGTATTCATATTTTTCTTACTAGTTGATGGTGTTCGAATAGGTATACGTGACTTTGAACATTTAATTGGCATTAATGGCGGTCGATTTTCTTTATTTTCATCAATATCATTTATATGATCTGTTGGTGGTGTTGATATTAAATGGTCAATTCGAATTAATTCTTGATAGATAGGTTCTGGTCTATCAGATGACTCAACTAATACACTGCTTACATCATTAATATACTTAAAATCTTGTAATGATGGATGACGACTTATAACAACGTGCATTGATTCAGTCAAAATACGATTTGCTTTAAATAGAAACGCAAATTAATACTTTAATCTTAATTGTGGTTACTTCAAACTTACGATTAGTAAAGATCAAAAGGTCACTAAGTTCGGTTTCATTAAGACTTAGTTTTGAATTAGTATTAATTGATCTTTTGTTTGAACAACGAATTAGTGGAATATCATTATCATCATCATCATCATCGAGTGTAATCATTGTTGGTGAATCAAAATATCGTTTTTGATCTTGATTGACAGTAAGTGTTGTTGGCTGTTGTTTGATCTTATATTTTGTAAATGTACTAAATCGATTATTGTCCAATGTTCTTGATAATTGACTGTTATTTTCCATAATACAAATCGATTGATCTTGTTCATCATCATTATATGATGAACAATATTTATTTGATAATACTGTATATGTTTTATTCATTAAACGTTGTTTAGTTGATGATAGATGCATATAATCGATTTTCCGAAGAAGAATAACGCAATTTATACTGAACGCATGTGGTCAAGAGACGCTAATGAGAAAATTTTCAATAGATATGATAAAGTCTCTCAAAAACAGACAGAAACGAAAAGAAATTTTCTGATAAAAATATAAGACCTCTGAACTATGCCATCTATCGGTCTTGCGGTTTCTGATTAGTCAAATACGTACATTATCAAGATCAACTATTTATATTTTTTTTTCTCCTTTTTTTATTAGAAATTATTATATTCTTACTGATGCATCGAGTAAAATATTTATTTAACTTACCAGTACGTTTTCATTCAAGTACAGCATCTAAATTTAATCCATGGCATGACTATCGTCCTTATTTGGATCAAGTGAAAACTTATATTACTCGTTTAAACCCATACATTGAATTGGAGCTTCGATCAGCTGCACTCAATTGGGACTATATATTAAACAATGAAAATTCTCAAGCCATATCAGATAATGTAAAACAACGAAAAGAAAATGATTTTGTTGATATTGAACATATTGTATGTAAATTTATTTTGTTTTCTAAACAAGGAGTCAAAATATTTCTTCGTCGTAGCTTGCTCTTCATCGTGACATACAGACCTTATTTCATCGAATTGAAGAAAAAAAACTTGATTCAATTCAAGGCGAAGTACATAATATTGTTTGAATTTTATTGTTTTTTTATCTTTCACATAAATGAAATTAGGATCAAATTAAACTTAAAATTCAAGATTTATATAATTATGCATTAAGAATACCAAATAAAACACATCATGATGCCGTAGGTAGTCCGTTGATTTCAATTCTTAGCATTTATGTTTGTTTTACTGTTTTTTCCCAAAAAATCTAGCCCATTGGTAATGAAGAACAAGCACGTGTAGTGCGTCTTGTGGGGGAAAAGCCAGGTAATAAAATTCAATATGGTTCAATTCTAAATAGTTTTTATTTGCATTTCAGACACGACTCGTCTTCGACAAGCCGTTGATCAAATTGGTCAAGAACTAAATTTAATTCAATTAGAGTAAGTTTACTGTCGTTGAGGACGAAGATTTGAATTTTGTATTTTTCTTTTCAAAAGAAATATGGGGCATGTTTCATTTCGTGGAGCTTATGCATTATTTGGTGATTTCGCTCGTTTAGAACGAGCTTTAATGTATTATGCTTTTGAAAAACTTACTCAGAATGTAAGAAATTATTTCTAATGTGAATTTTATTTTCATTATACTTACTAACGATAGGGTTTCAAAATGGTTTCTGTTCCAGATATTATTCATCGAGGCATTATTGTAATATAGTTTTCATGTGAATATTTAGTCTAGGAAAATAAATATCTTCGTATTCATCTTTTAGGAATCATGTGGATTTCCAACTAGAGGTAAACGATCACAAATTTATCAATTAGATTATGGTGAAGAATTCGGTCGATATTGTCTTGCCGGCACATCTGAAATGCCTTTAGCTGGTTTGCTCAAGCATAATACATTTCGAAAAGACGAGCTACCACTCAAGTAAATATTGCATAATAAAATATAAAGCATTTCATGAATATCTAGATGATTGTTGAGATGTTCTTGAATGTTTATGTAAAAAAGAATAGAATGTAAAGAGAACTAGTCTTCATCATAGACTGAATACGTGTTCTCATCTTAATCCTTTGTCAGTCATCTACTGTAATAATTTCATAAATGATTTAAAAAGCAAATACAGAGCGTGAAAGTCTTGCTAGAAAAATTTCTCAACTACTTAAACATAGACAGCTGTAACCAGTAGAAAACAGCGCTTCTATAGAAGACTATTTTAGTTGATTTTGTATTTCAACTGAAACACTTGAAACAATTTTTAACTACTCAAATTGGTAGAGTGAAATTTATTAACTATAGTTTCTTCGTAGTGCAAAAATAAAAATCTGATTCTAATCCATTGTATTTTACTGATACCTTGTCTCTAAGATTGTCTGTACGGTAATTTTTGGGTTTCAAACTATACATGAATCAATTTATTATTATTGTTATTGTTAATCATATTATTTTATAGATTAGCGGCATGTAGTCGTTGTTATCGAGCTGAATTGCCTGGGGGGAAAACTGAAGGAAGTTTATATCGTGTACATGAATTTACCAAAGTTGAAATGTTTGCTGTTACAGTCGACGATGAAGCAGTATCACAAGAAATGCACAATGAAATTGTTCGACTGGAAACATTGATGTTCGAAGAACTTGGATTACATTTCAGGTTGAGTGTTGCCATTGATTTGGTATTTGTTGTTGTATATGATTATCTCTTGTTTAGAATACTTGATATGCCAACAGAAGAACTTGGTCTATCGGCATATCGAAAATATGATATTGAAACTTGGATGCCAGCCAAAGAATTTTATGGTGAAGTAAGTTTTTAGTAGATACTATTCTACTTATACATCATTCTTTAATATAGATTAGTAGTGCATCGAATTGTACTGATTTTCAATCACGTCGTCTTCATATTAAATATATCGATGATAATGGTGATGAACGATTCGTTCACACTGTATGTTTATTTATTTGTTCGTATTTAAATAAGAATATCCTCTTTGTTTTCTTCGCTAGTTGAATGGAACAGCTATGGCTATACCTCGAATGCTTACCGCAATTATTGAATCCAATTGGGATCCGGTATGTCATAGATTTTTTCAATGAATAAATTCTTTTTGCAAATTCCTTTTTTTACATCATTAGGAAACGAAAAAAATTGAAATACCAGCTCCTCTACGACCTTTTATGGGCAATCGAGAATACATTTCAAAGAGTTCAACTACACCAAGTACTCAATGGATTAAATTTCTTAGTTGAACATTGTTGTTTTCTTACTATTCATGCTGAATAGAAATTTTTGCAGCTGCTGTGAAAGCAAATATCTTTATTTCAAAACAAATGAACCATTCAAATTGAGAATAATCAAGCAGCTAACCAATTGACATACTTTGACACTGATCAAGATTGTAGATAGCTTTTATTTTAATAGTCTATTGATAGACTTCGATGATCAACGAGCATTTTTACGATCATCTGTCATTGACGGATAAAACACTATGTATATTCATATCTATATTGTCTAACCTTTATATCATTTACAAATATTAGAGACAGAAGAAGAGAAAAAAACAACCTTTGATACTTTTGTATCAAAAATGAATCGATTAATACTTCGAAAGAAAAATATATTACATTGAAAAGAATGAAATATCATATGTAAGTATCAACAGCTAGACGATACGATTCGAATATCGACCAAGACACGCATGAGTTACGTTTATATGAAAAACTATCACGATGAATATGAGTCTTTATCAATAACTATTGACAGCTTCTATGGATAAATTCACCATCCGTACATAGATAAGGAGAAATCATTCACAGTTTATGAGCATGGTACAACTTGATCAGGTAAATACAAGCTAAAAAAATTCAATTTATAATTTTTTTCTCTTCATTGCAAAAATATTCAAAGAATACAAAAAAATCGATTGCAGGCAATAGAATTAGTTATTTATCGTTTTGATTCTTTTAATACGTAACTTTCTCAAATCAGAAGATGGCCATTCTACATAAACTCTAATGTTAATTGAAATCTTAGCTAAAACTATACAGAAAAATTTATGAAGTTAATGAGCCTTGTCGAAGTTTTTACGACCGTTTCCTAGAATTTGAAAGTACTAGAGAACTGTAAAAAAAATCGGCATCGAAATTCCTTCCCCCTTCCCCAGTGTTATGTTACTTTTTACAGAAATATCTTGGAGTCATTGGCAATTATTGATTGTTTTCAGTGCGTCGAACTTTACGGCATAACTAAAATCTATATTGCGTATGTTTATTTATTTTTGAATCAATTTTCTTTATTATAGCATCAAGTGACAAAGAGGATTGCACCTGTTTGTTTATAGTGACCGTTCCTGTTCTATGTGGATGTTTTCAACTTCTAGCATAAACCCATTTCAAATAAAATAATTGAAATGAGCATTTTACTATAATAATACTGCAACAAGTGGCGACAATAAATAATAATGCAGATAATTAAAATCTTCTAAACCAGCGTTTCCTCTTTCATAATAGTTAATAATCTCCGAAGTAAAATTAATCAATAACAAAGAAAATATTTATAAAGATGATCTTCGATACAATCTGATATGTTCGATTAAATACCAATTCATTATTCATACGTTTTGCCGTTAATTTTAGTGAAGACGAAACTGAATCGCTTTATATATGTTTATTTGACAAATAAAAACGATAAATTGTTCTCTTATTTTATTTTCTGTGCAGATTAAGCTTCAAAAGACAGACGGACAAAAAAAGAGCGCGAAAAGAAAAACAAAACAGGATTATTATTATTTGAACCTTTTGTTCAACACACAATAAAGTAAATAAATCAAGATGTTCGTTCGAGCAAAACAATATTTCAATAGTAAAAATTTCAAAGTACACCGGTGTCAATACAAACAAATGAAAAACAAAAAACATTGGCGAACTATTTCTTTCATTATCTCAAAGACAGTAGAATACATAGAAGAATATAGGATATAGATAATTTCATCGATGAAGAACTCAGCGCAAGACTAAGCATATGTGATGGTGGAGATTGTGCATGCATGAAATTTGTTGACCGATACGTTTTATCTATAAAATGTAAAAATAAAATATATTTTATTTAGAAGAACTATCAATAAAAATGAAGTACTAACCATAATTGATATCTCGATGTGGCCCTTCGGTTATCCATTTTATTGAATATGGATCACTATGACGTTGAACTTTAATTGCATTTACTATTGGACGATGGATATCACTACGATCATTTTTATCTATCGACGAAGATGAAGATCCATGTCGATAATGAGAATAATGAGAAAATGAAATAGGTTTTCGTTCTTGATCATTGACAAATGATTGTGTACTGGTAGATACTGACATGCGATCTAAATAAATATTAAATATTTCTTCCATCTAATAGTCAATCTCTCAAATCAGTTTGTATTTAACAATACAGCTTCATATAGAACGAACGATTTCATGATCATTATACAATAAAAACAATTGATATTCATATGAATGTTATTTATTTAGACAGTACAATTGTCCATTATTCAATCAGTAATGAACATCAACAAAGTTGATATTATATATGTATAGATAAGTATACATGAAGAGAAGTATCGCTGTTTGTTGGTGAACTCATGCATATATAACATCAACAATGAAACACACTAAAGGGAACCGCCAATTCACGCGACTACACTTCTTGTCTAATCTCATGCAATCTCGCAATCGCCGCCATTTCAATGATCCGTAGTATGAACCATATGACTATCACAAGAAAAACACAAGGCGTGGTCAATATAAAACACAATTGATATATTGCCTATGTCTATTGAACATAGGCAAGCTTATGTATTTTCTAAATATTCTCGTCTAGCTCTAATTAGTTATATAATAAATCAAACTTGTTGAGATCATATAATGAAATTCTATTAAAGAACAATAGAATTTTGTCTTTCGTTTCCTCTTATAGAGAAAAAATACAACGACTAAAATTAGTCTTACTACTAATTGGAGAATATGCATGGTTAATATTGAATTTGTCTAGTCATTCACTTATTTCTATTTTCTTCTTCTTCTTCTTAAATAGTCACTATAAATGCATTGTAGCGACAAATATCAAATCTAGCATGATTCGATTACATTTCATCGGCCCTATTGCACAATCATGTCGTCTCGTATAAATGCATGTCTACGAGTACAATGAGGCAAAACATCGACATCGTTGTCATACAGTAAAACAGAGAAAAATGAAGATGTATTAAACTTACGATAATCATGTACAAGAATTTTAAGTTTGTTACATTGTTGATGATGACTTGATGATGTTGAAAGAAAATAGTAAGTTTGATTGGGACGAAATTCAAAACCATTCGGTATTGGTAGATATGAACGAAAATTAAGTGTATATTTCATAACATCATACGGACTGTTACAAGTAATTACACGACGTGTCAATGGATCATTACCAAATAAATTAATATTACAATTTTCGTATTCAATTTCAGTTACCTTTAAATATACATACATATATAATAATATGAACTGCGATTATTTTAGTAAAAAAAATGACAAACATACTCGGTAGATATCATATTGTTCTAGTTCACTTGTCATGTATGATTGTTGTTCATCATAAAACGGACATATAAGATCCATAACGTCACCTAAACGTACTTCAAAGATCAATGAACCGTCTTGATATGGCCTAAATATAATATAGAGAAACAATAATAAAAAAAATATGTATTTGATTTCGATATATTTTCGTTCTATATCAAGTACTCTTTCAATAGTTTGAAAAGAAATCTAATTATAAAGAAAATACTACAGTCAAGGTCTGTCTATTCTAGTACGAATGTGATGCCGCAAGGGTTTTACACAATGAACAGAAGCGCATATATACTACTATACAGAGAAGAAGAAGAAGAAGAAGAAAAACGAATATAAACACATTAAAAGGAATAAGAGAATACAGCCGCTATTATAGCCTAAAGATGTGAGCACTGAAAAGTCATTTTGTATATCCAGCACAGATGGACACTTAGCAAAGGACATTTAATGCCATCGAAACAAATAGAAAAGTTTTCTTTTTTGTTTTGTTTCATAGTGATATTTAGTTTCAAATTTATTCTACAGGAAAAACTGTTCGTGTTCTTTCAATAATATAATCGATTTTTTTCTTTACTTTAAATGACATTTATTCTGTTTTTTTTCATACAATAATCTCTAAATAGTATATTGATAGTAGAGAGAAATATTCTTTTCTTTCTATTCATCAAGTTTACTTTAAAATCAATAGTTATTATAAAATCTTCTTTCTTTTAGACTATTATATAATTTCATTAAAATTTTTTATTTTATTTTTATTCATATTCAAGAGATTTTACAGTTGATATTAGAAATAAAACTTACAAATAATGTTTTAATAAATATTCAAGCACTCATATAGCAAAAATTTTTACAATCATATTCTCTTAAAGCGATTATGACACTAAGCATCGATTTACAATAACATTGAGGAAATGTTTTCTAATATATTAAAATAACATTCGAGAAAAAAATCAAGCTCATATATATATCTCTATGATCTCTGCAGGAAAGATATTGAACAAGTTATGTTGTAGTCACTTGAGACAATGATGTTCTATCAATGGTTATCTGATCATCCTTGAATCCGAAAACTATAGGCCGCTGTCCAACAACGAACATGTACAAATACAATGAACACCCCTGTGTATTTTTATTACTAATCCAATGCGCCTGTTTCACGGGCGTAACCCTTCTTTTCTTACATGCAAACAAACAAACAGACGGACAGGCGCGTGGTGTGCTACGCAATTAAGTGACGAATGCTGAACACCATAGATAGATGAATGTATGAATAGATTGACTCAACAACTTCTACATAGTTGCACGATTGATCGCTTATGACTAAAAACACAGCAGAGTGGCCAATATAAGCAAGTTATGTATATATACATAAGGTTTCTTTTTTTCTTTTTCGTAACACGTTCAAGTAGTTAAGTAAATAAACAATTTTTGAGGAAAAAAGTCTCGGACAGAAGCATTGTGTCATAGCCTATTAGTGATATAATTTTATAGATCTACATAAATATAAATATTTTTCGGGCATATTAATTTTGCTCCTTACTAACATTCATCATAGTAAAATAAGCAACTAATATTTATCGATATAAATGCGACACATGAAATGAATAAAAACAGGAAATATCTATTTTATTTTATTGTTTTATTACCAAAAATAAAAAAATGATTTATATTCTACTTTTTCTATGAATCAATATTGTACTTAATTCTTGTTTTTTATTCTATAATAGCCTATCAATCAAATATACACAAAAGGTTTCGTGTGTAATATACAATAAAAAAAAATTTCAATTAGACGTTAGTAGTTTTCTATTGTCTACGCTTCAATAGGAGATTTTTCATTACCTGAATGTTGTCTGATTCCAATAGAATGGTTGAAGGAGTAATGAATAAGTTTGATATTTAGTTATGAAGATGAGTAAAAGAATTGATACCACAAGCAGCTCGTTGATGAACATAGCCTTTCTGCTGCTGCATCGACTGAATACACATATACTAGGCTCTGTTCAAACTGACCGTTCTCTCTCTCCCCGTTCTTCCTTTCTCTAACACGAGAAAAAGAAACGGTCCAATTATCCTTCCCCTTGTCTCTCCCTTTCTCTTGGTCGACAGCTAGAGAAGAAGAGCGAGTATAAGAGAAAAAAACGTTTATTATTAGTGGTGATATACGAAAAGACTATTTGTGCACTTGCTCCATTATTTCTCTCAATTCTATATTCATTATCATATCCATGCGGGATAAAAACTCGCGTAATACATCACCAGTCCGACAGTCAATTATCATATACATGTGCATAACAGGGCTTGTTCTTCCAGCGCCTCTATCATAAAAAAGCAACCGATCTTAATTGAGAAAAGATGAACTCGTACGTTTGTCTTCTTATCTTTATTTCAGTTCAAACCTATGATGGATGTATGCATATATATACATATGAGTTCGTTATTTTTTTTAGTTTTGTTGACGTTCAGATTTGTAATTTGATTCTTATTCATTCGACTTTCGATTTCTCTTTTTTTTGTGATCGGTGGCGGGAAGGCTTATCATGTTCTGTTCATTGATGCACGTAATTTTTTGGTATGTCTATGAGTGATCGCTAGGAGAGCTGAGGCGGTAACCGAACTAATCACAAAGAAAAAACGATGAATGATCAAAGCAAATATATATATATATATATGTATATGTGTGTGTGTCACTTGTGTGAACAATTGAGAACGCGCGCATACCTACAAATACAATACCGGAGGTGAGAGCAACACACATACGGATGATAGGGATTAACAAATAGAAAAAAAAGTGAATAAACCAAATTTGAAAGATTATGAAATAATTTGTTCAATTTTATTTTCAATTTGAAGCGTATTATTTCTATTCTATATTAATTTGTATCACAAGATTGTATGTCAAGATGAACATCTTACTTTTTTTTTTCAATAATCATACATCTCTCAGATTTACTGAAGCGAGAAAATTGAACTAGGATATATTAAAAATAAAATGAGAAAACATTTCTTTCCATATACTTAGGTATGTGCGCCCCGATATCACCCATGAGTGTCCATATTGAATAGTATAGTGTCTAGTGTTTATTTAGGAGAGCCCATTTAGAATATATATATATATATAGAAAAAAGTCAATATAACAAAAAGTCGAATTGAATGAATAAATGAGTGAAAGGAGGCGAAACCGACGACGATCAAACAATCGATCCGCATACATCACTAATTTCAACTCGTCCATCATTCTTATGATGATGATATGCCTGCTTGACAGTCAAGTATATATATGTGTCCTGCCTTAAATGCATTCATGCATGTGCATGTGAGACAGTTGATTTTTAAAAATAAGAAAAAAAAATTGAACGAAATTTATGAGAACACGCAAGACGCTCATTAAACGAAACAAAGACTTGTTTTTCTATTATCCTTGAGCTTCGTAGACAGTAAAACGAGCTTGATTTAATGGGGACAACGAAAAAGATTAGTATTCATAAACGATGTTACATTCTTGTTTGTGTGATAATCTGAATGAATGAATGTATGAACGGAAAGAAGACGAAAAAATCTATGAAAGAAAAGAAAAGGCTTAACAGAATAGTTCTAATTTTTGCATTTTGATATGTTTGTTCAATATTCGATTACGTCGATCTTTAGCAATTAAAAAGAAAATACATCAACGCGACTGACAACTGGACTAAACGAGATGTGTTTGCTAATGAGCACTAGTATGTGTACGTATTGTGTATACGTATAACATACATGTTAGCCTTTATGCAATCTACAGAATTCATCTATTCACTCTATATGTGGTCGAAAAGGTCACTTTGATCTACTACTACAACTATTCATTCATCTATGATGATTGTGTGATGCGTGGACGTGCCTGATGAGGTAACGAGCCACGCCTGTATATATATATATACAGGTCTTCAGTTGTATATGAACTGTGCTATTGCGTCAATATTAATAATTCATGCACTTGTAAGTCGATTGACCTCGACTATGGCCACGTTTTTTTAATTTTATTGTAAAGACAGTTAAATATTACGACAATAGAAGACGAAATTCTTTTATATGTTGCACTCACCGAAATGTTGTCTGATTCCAATAGATAATAAAAGTACGATGAGATTTTACGATATCGATTATGAAAATGATTGCCCATAGAAATAAAAATAATTCATTGAAATTTATCTTCGCCATGCATCATGATATAAATAGATTCATTTATAAATAGCTACTCTGTCTACAAGTATTACTACTAGTTATATGAGTATGGCAGAAGTGCGACATTGTAAACTGCATGATAAGAAGACAATCGTTGCATGATGCTATAAAATCGTCGTATTATCTGGAAAAAAAGAAAGGAACAAAATAAAAAAATTAGCTCAATTGGACAAATGGCAAATATATGCCGAGTCTCTTTTGTCTGTATGCTATCTCATGGTTAATCAAAGACAGCTATTTTTGGTTTCTCCTCAGGTGTTCCTATTTTATATTAATAATCTTCTTCAATGTCATAGAACATTATGCACACATATACGTATATACATAAGCATATGTAGTATTCAAAGGTCAATCTTGTTCAGATGGGTGCTAGTAAAAAGATTTATTCGGGCGATTTCTGTATGACCTATAGGATGATAGAATCGAACGTAATCAATAAATGATGTTTTAAAATTCGTTAAAATAAGTGTAGTCATAAAAGTTGAAAACAGAAGAAGAAAGAGAAAAAAAGAAGGAAAGAAAGACTAAATATGAAACAATTGTCAAGTGATCAGAGTCATCTAAACCTCAGTAAAGTACATTGATAAGCATATTCTCACTACTGTATGATAAGAGTCATAAAATCATTTTATTTATTTTTATCCTCCATTAATAGATAGAAATAAATGAAAGCTCTGACTTTTAATAATGCACAAAAATCTTCCTAGTTAACTGTTACTAAATGCAGTAAAAGTGTTAGCTGCATCGATCTCCTTGGCATACGCAGCTACCCTGGACAAACTTAGCAAATAATGATTATCACCCTTTCTTTCCTGCTTTCTTTCTCAAGCATACGTCACTTGGTGATTAGAATCAGAACCAGATGGTGACAATCTCATATATATATATATATATATACTAAGGCATGGTGATGGGAGATGAGAGAATGACAATAGCCTTGATTCTTCTCGTTTTCTCAATAATAAACAGGTAACCTTAACCATCCGCATTCGACTATTCAAACACACGTTTACGTACGCATACATACACGCATGCATATATCCTCATGGATGCAGGTGCTCGTAGTCATTTTCTTTTGTCATACGAGAAGTGTTAATCTTGTATACAGAAAAATAAGAAAGATTATGATGATGGTTATATACGATGAAGATTGTCGAGACATACAAGAAAGTCAAGGTTAAAATCATATCGACATCATGACAGCTTGCGCAGGTGCGGCAAAAGCCTTCATATGTTATTAGTAAAAAGGACAGGTATAAATTAGTAGAGACACTATTTTTCTTGTAATTTGTTTTCCTTCAACTACGGATCAGAATACTTGAATGTCGAACAAATAAAAATAAAGAAATGATTGTGATGCAATAATCTACTTCAACTTATTGTCCTGTCTTTAGTTTTAAATCATAATTTCGGGTTTTCGTTTTGTTGACTATTTGCATTGGTGACAACGATGTCCGTTTCTTTATATCTTGAAAGGAAATCAAGAAGCAGAACGGAAAAAAAACGTACAAACGAACAAAACTTATCGATTCTTTATTCTCCGAAGATTGATAACATCCCATTGCATTCTTCTTTCGCAGTATAACAACAAAGTGTTGGTGCAAAGACAACGGGCAATATATATTGAATGTTATCTCAATCTTTGATTGACCGATGATGGACTTGATTAGTCGTGATTCGACGAGAAAACTTGATCATTAACAGAGAAAAGACATTCGTTTTTATCCTTCAATATCACGTTTTCTTATCTAAAAGCTCATCAATATATTCTTTCAACAAAAAAAACAACAGAAAGTCAGATTTTAACAATTACAAGTTCTCATGAAGACATGCGATACGTCTTGGATCATATTTTATTGATATTTAGTAGATATTCAAAATAATATCGAATATGAATTATATTATTCTAAAGAATTTTTATTTAATTACATAGTAAAACCATCGAATGCGTTTATTCTGATTCTTTTTCGTCTTCAAAATACGAAACACTTTCTATTATCTTGACGAAAGAATGAGAATATATTTATATAGTTACTATGAGTGATGCAATGAAAGTTTACCACATAGCAGTTCAGTATTACTTTTTTAGTCTATCTGAAAAAATATTTAAGTGATAGTATTCTTAAATATAAAATTTGCTGTATTGATGATGACGATGGTTCGCTCAAAGACCTGTTCTTGTCAATAGATTATTACTCTAATGTTATTAATATATTTTTTTTGTGTTAATAGAAACTTACTTGGACCAGCCTGCATCGTCATTAACCTAGGCGAAAGATTGTTTCATGAAGTTGTTCAATAGGTTTTTCTCTTTTGACAAAATATTCTTTTATGAGTAATTATTGTTAACTTTTGTAGATAAGAAATAATATCCAGCTGTTACTATATCTCACTGAATTTCTTCATTGAAGTTCATTCATGTATGACAGTAGAATGAAAAAGAAAAGGATTTCTGAACATTATTGGAAAAAAAACCCAATCCATTAAAAAAATTTGCTATGATAATTCTTTGTTATTCAATCTAATTATGGCTAGATACGCTTTCAATTTCATGTGTTATTGAAATAAAATATCGTAATATTGAGTTTTCTTCAAGGATCTGCGTAGATCGACTGCTAAGAAATTATCATTGAAAACTTGTCTAGTTCGGCAATGTGCTGTTCTTTAGGTTATTTACAAATCCTATCTAGATACATAAATATCATACAAACGACAAATTATTCAACTAAACAAGGCCAGAAAACTTTTTTAATATACGGTAGAAAGGTTAGAAACAACTCTTACCAGACACTATGTATCTGGTATAATTAGGAATTCGAGTCGTCATTGAAAGTAAGATACATTAGTCGTTTATTATTCTTATACGTGCATCTGGAAGAAAATAGAATAATTTATCTACGCGATGTCAAATAAACTCGACTAAGGCCAAAAAACAAATTATCAAGGTAATTAGTAATTAGACTTCTTTTTACTATGAAAATGATTGGAAGCTACATATGATTAAATATACGACAAATTATTTGCAGTCATGCTTCACAAATCTTTGTAAATAAATAATCGGGAAATGTTTACTGAATATTTCAGCATTCTGCACAAGTCTGTAGGCATTTGAAAATTTCAAAATAGAATAAAAATTTCTCAGTGTATGTAAATATGACGTCAATAATTATTCCAGACGTCTATCTGTAGGATTACAAGGCAATCGTTTAGACGCTCAGAAAATAAATCTTCAAGCATTTCTCTATAACACAGTAGGCTAATTACTGGTGTCGTGCAAATGGCTCGTCAGCTGCGAGTTTTCTGTTAAGAGAAACCTCCTGTCAATTTAAACAGTTTTCTCGATGTCTGTGAAAAATAGAGATGCAAAATGTGAGTTTGATCGTTCCTAAATAATGATTTAGAAACTCTTCTTTTGTTTTTTCTGACTTTATAAAGATCTCATGACAACTAAAAACAAGAAACCTAAGCCCCGAGCAAATCTGCAAAGATCTCTAAGTATCATAGTTCCTTGTTTAAAACGAGATATTACAATTTCTACGATATTTCTACTCATAAACAAATAAAAATTATGTAAAATATTTTCAAATGTGTTTCTCGTCTCACAATGATGAAATATCAAGTACAATATTCTAACATTTTATGCGATATCAAGCCGTATTATGTTTATCATTTTTAGACTGCTCGAAGTAGCCGACGTGTTTTGATGTTATCAACAAATCAATTTTAAAATCCTCTGATAAATGCCCCACATTTGAATCAGCTTTGTAGAAATAAAGCAAATCTTTTCAAAAACTACATACTTTTTTCGAAATAGATAAATGTGCTCAGCGTATCCTTGCAATGTCGTCAACTCCTCGGAAGCTCGCTCTCCGGCACTAAAAAAAAAAAAAAAAGCAAAATCTAACTTTCATCAGCAACCTCAAAATGAAGATAAATATATGGAACGATAGCTCAAGGTTTGACCTATCATGAATGACGTGATTCTCCTTTAGTCATCAGCTCATACTTTTTGCGAAAACTACTTTACTGATTTCTGTCATCATCTGCTTGAGAAAAATTCTCAACGAGTCTCATGCTTAGATAATCATGTTTTGCTTACTTTTCAGGGCATGTCAATTTTCAGGGGATGGCGCGTCGCTTTCGAAAATTAACCTTTGTTACTATTAGATAAATGGGTGCTTTTATAATCAAAAAATTCTCTTTTTATGTTACTTTGTGATACTGAGCTTGTAATCCATTTTCTGCCCTTAGAAAAAATACGAATTCAGAAAAAAAAATCTTATATACCCTAAATCGTAACATTTTTTTTAGAAATAGAAAAAAGAGGCAACTAGAATGAATGCCCTCAGAAAATTTCGAGTCACAAAATGAACTTCTATTGATCCTTGTTTATTCGAAAATATCATGTTATAATACTGAAAATTTGATGTATATGACCTAAAAATGATTTTCTTGAAAAGAGGTGAAGAATATCCTTTTACTTTTATACTAGAAATTTGGAAACAGAAACAAGAATCTCGTAGTTATTCTTCTGCGATAGAGATGATTTGAGTTGAACATATCTGTTATTATTAGAAAATGTTTGATGAATGCGATTTTAAATGGTAAGAAAACAAATAAAGATCAACTGAGAAGATGATGAATGCTACTTTCATTACTGTTTGATTGTAAAATATGGCATTGTCTCCAGACTAGGTTTCTTTCATGAATAAAACGCACTTGAATGGTTTTGTACCGCGTGCATGCTTTCGATAGACTAGAAAAGCAAGGTCAAGATGTCATGGGCTTCTTTTAGTCGAAATAAAAGTAAAGATTGGCATGTTTTATTTAATCGTTCTTTTATTCTCATCATGATTAAACCTTTCATCGGTAAATTATATTTGTTTCCGTTATCGAAATTAACAAAAGTTCAAGTTTGTTTTGCGTTTGCAATGATCAAACAAATGGTCTTGTCTTTTTTTTCAGACAATGCAGATATTAGAAAAACACCATATTCAAATATTGGATTTCATATCGTACAGAATAGATAATCGGCAGAATCAATCGTGTTCGTCTACAATGGACAGATCGCATGATATTAAAATTCTTTTTTGTTATAGAAAAATAATCAATCACAACTATTGATTAATTGATAGAATCAATTGTGATAACTATTATTCTATCATATTTCAAAAGATCGCGAGAGAAAAAAAACTTGGAAGCATGTCATTCATATAGTTCATTGAATCTAATCATATTCTAAACAGTCTTCATTTGAATTTGATTAGGTTGTTTTATCTAAGTTTTTTTAATTCTATGACATTTATGTGACATTCGATACTTCTCTGTCTTTTAATTCATTAAAACAAAAATATGTTTCCATCATAATCGATAATACATAGGCGCATTCGATGTTTGATCGCTATCCATTTAATATACACAACATTAAACAACTTCACACATACGCGAAAGAGAAAAACAAAATTGATTAGAAATAATCGTATCAACTGTTCGTGTTCACCTACACATACATGCTTTTAGAAGTGTAAGTAGCGCTCTTGTTGCCATCATCTATCGCAGTGCTCATATACATGGCTACTCTTGAGAATGTCATCGCGTTCACTTCATTTACATGAATATAATAATGAAAATAAAGGGGCAACATCTTGTTGATTTTTATGATCGATATGCAAACGAATCGATGTAATACAATCGACATAAAGTGTTAATAATATTAAACTAGACAAGTTATGGATCAAAGATATTGATGAAAAATCATGTAATAGAAAAAATAATGAAAAGTAAAAAGTGTTATATCAAATTTCAAGCCTCGGAATAATTAGAATCATCACTTGACTTGCATTAAATATTACAATCGATCATTTTAGAAATGAAGAACAAAAACGAATGAATGTTAAGTTAGAATGACTAGACGAAATCAATTTTTTTCCAATGAAAAATCCATCCTGAGATGAGCTGTTTTTTTTTCTCTTTCTGCAGGTGTTCAAAAAATTTTTGAAGGCTTCAATCTTTTATCCCTCTTCCTATTCCGCTGTCTATGAGCTCAATATAATTCTTAAAGCTATGTTGATATATATCTTCGTCTTTTTCTTTTTTGCTTTACGACTCAGTCATTGTCATCTCTATTGCTTTTAAAGCGTACTTCCGTTTTTTGTCTCCTTCACTGCTGATTAGTAGCACGGAAATCATCCATATTCTCTGCATGACAGAAGCAGCATGCATCGTATTTGGTGCCAACTGTCTCTCGAGGCAAACGCTGGACAATAGGTTACTACTGACCCCATCGTTAATCAAGACGATGTGCACATATTGATTACCTAATACTCTTTCCCATACGTAATCTAACAAAAAGAGTATGACACTATGCTCTTTTTCTCTTTCTCATTATACACAGATGTAAGTAACAAGAATCAGTCGATTGCGTGCGACCATACACTTATCTCATTTACGTCAAATGTTGACGAAAAGTAAGTTGACCCATCCTTTTTTCTTGGATAATAACTTTTAACAATACATACAATGTGTTTCTTTTCTTTTCTTTTCTTTTTTTAATCTTTTTTTGTTGTCGTTGTATATGAATAACATCCTTAGGCACAGCATAAATGAGCACATACAACGACAGACATGAAAAATCAGATCACATCTTTTAGTGTATGTCTCTTGATCAAAGAGATGATATGACTAGATAACTATCAGAGACACAAAGAAAAATAAATAACCAAGCTTATCTTGTGTCATATACATAGGTAATTGGAGGTTATTTTTTAACAAGTATCATATTGTCTGAGCCCGTGAGCACTAATTGATTGGCATCCTCATTAGTATCGACCAGTCTCAATTGTTTGCATTACGAGAATAGCTAGAGAAAGAGGGTCTACCTCACACCTTAGTCAGTCTAATTAGTTTACTGAGACGAGTTTGTCTTCATTCTTCAATATTCATACATTTTCTTTTTCTTTTTTGTTTCTTGTCCATAGTGAACATTGAAATAGGTGTCAAGTACAGACAGACGACGCTTATCATTTGTAGTCATCAATGTATGAGTACATACGATAAAAAATAACCAATTTTATTCTTCATGCTATTCTCAAATAATTCATGTACCATAATCATCAAACTGACCACATAGAGAGAAACAAGAGAGAAAGAGAGAAGTATGCAGTAAAAGTGAGTACACACAGACATCACTTCGTCATAACATTCTCGGCACAGCTATATCCTTATATATATATATATATATATGTATGCACACATACATGTACATGGAGGCCAATGATGCAGGTACGTATGCAGAAAAACGGATATTTGAAAACGTGTTCAATGATGAAGGTCTATCGCTACCGACAGACCGAACATGATTGATGTGACATTGAAGAACTTGACACCACGATTGACTCACCCTCAAGGCAGATTCGTTAAATATCCGTTTAGAAAAAGCAAACTCTTGAAACGAATAAACTAAAATTACACAATCTGTCAAGTTAATAAATGATCTCTCATTTTGCTTTTGAAGGTTGTTTCATACGAACGATATGCATATATGCGTATATATATATATATATATATGTACACACTTCGAGCTTTCTCATTTTACATTAAATGATGAATAAGAATGCTGAGATGCCGCTGCGCCGCCATTCTATCCAAAGAAAAATGTGATTGTTTAACAATCAAGTGAGAAATGTTGAATATGACGAGAGTCATTCACACATTTAAAGAAAAATCTTAGAAGATGATGTGAAAAAGAAACATACCTTTATTTAATAAACAAATCTTAAGAATATAGCTAAGTGAAAAAAACAAAGTTTAATCGAGAACGTGAAATATTTATCAGATTAGAATAAAGAAAATAAATATAATAAATGCGTGGAGATGTTTATCAATTATATTTTATTTTATTTTATTTTTCTATGATAAAAGACTTCGAATAGTTTTAGTAGATTTACTTTTGAATTCAAACAAGAAGAGAAGAGGAAGAAAAAAGAATGTCTAACGTTCGCGTATCAGCTTTTGATATAATATATATTAAAGTGTTAATTTGAATTTTATCAATAGTTCTTTTACATTCAAGAAGATATTTTATAGTTTCACACATTAAGGTAATTGTTTGGAATGTTATTTTTCTTATGATATTTATCGAATAGAGAGCAGTATGGTTTTTTTTCTTCATTCAATAGAATTATACAACATGTTTTCTTTGTTGTCAGTCTGCAGAATAAATTATTATGAAGATACTGTCAAAGTTTGTATCAAGTAGATTATGTTTTCAATTTTTTTTATTCATCAAACGATTGAATAAAGAATGATTCTTGAAAAATCCTCACATACATTAATCTACTTTTTTTGTTCATTGTTTGATTTGGTTCATTTTTCATGATTATTATTATTCGAGGGTATTAAAAAGCAGTCGCTATCTGTTGTCTAGTCGTCCATTAGTGTCTATACGCGTGGTTGCAAACAAACACACGTGCGCATGTTCTTGTTGAATTCAATGATTTATGGTATTTAACCATTTGTTCTATAATTCTGATCTCTATTCTACCTTGAATATATGATTGTTTCTCCTCCTTCATTTCTTATTTTTCTACGATTTATCGTTATTTGATGCGCTCTCCATGCCATATGTGTATACATATATAAATATAAGACTTTTTTTGTCATCTTATTTTTTTTTTCTTCTATATGATTGAACCTGAGCGAAGGTCATACAACTATGGTATGTTCGATAATTACATTTTGCTGATCGAACTACTATTTGAAAAGAAATCAAATTAGAAACACCTTCCTCTTGTGACACGACATCGTAAAGTAAAGAGCATGAAGTAGTAGCGAGTACGACACACTAATTATTAGTATGAATCGAAAATGGATGAAGGAAGAAGATGATGATAGTAATGATGATGGTGATATATCGAGATTGATTGCAATAAATATTTGTGTATATATGCAGATATATAAATGTATGTGTGTATGTACACGACATACTAGTTAGAGAAAAGAAAATGAATAGATGTATCATTACTAAGAAAGACAGGGTAGGTTGCTTTGAACTTCTTCTCTTTCACTACTCAGTTAGTGTCATTTACTTATGTGTAATATAAACAATGATATAGTCACGGGAGCATGATACCCTTTGAACATGTTTTCTTTTTCGTATGCCTACTTCGATCATAAAATAATCGTGATAGACAGCGTTGAAATATTAATAGTAAGTATACGCATACATATATATATATATAATGATTATAGTGGCACAAGGCTGACTGTACAATGGAAGTTTACTTATTTTTCTTCGTCAATTTATTCATAAGTAAATCTCGTTCATTTAATCCATCGATTTTTTTCTTATCTATTGTTGAATAATGCTAAGCTTGTCATATTTGATATTTTTTTTTCTTAACACCTTCTTATTACTTCCCGTGCGAGATTGTTACACACCGAGAAGGACAAGGTCATTATTGATTAACACTGATTTTCACAGGGGACAGAAAAAATTCAATGAAAATATATATGTTTAACTTTAATCAGAAATTCGATATCAGTAAAAAATTAAAATAAATTTAGAGATAGTCAACGGAAATATTGCTCGTTTTCTGTTTCCCATCGGTGTTTGTGTGGCTAATAGCAGACTAATTAAGGAAAAAGCTCTCTGTATTTGCAATGCCGTCTCTTGCATACGTACGCATTGCGTCTGTCAACACTCTTGGTCGTCTCACATGAACATCAAAAACATAAAAAAAAAAGAAGAGAAGCAAGCGAGTAAACGAGAGTCCTTCTCCCCTAATTCTCTCTCTCTCCTTCCCTCCCTCTCTCTGTATTCTTTTTTTTTTTGACAGAGAGGGAGAGAGAAGTAATAATTGTTGAACTGTGTCACATATGAACGAACGTGATAGAAAGAAAAGAAAAAGAAGAGAGAACAACAATCGAATGTTACTTACCTTTTTTCTTTTGCTTCTATTATAGATTTAACAGTATGAATCGAACTTTATCTAATTTAAAAATTAGTTCCTTTTACGATGTTAATCATCTACAAAAATATGAACTCTGCCGAAAAGAATCTCCGTGCTATCTTCTCAGTCCTCCGCCACGTCCACCATCAATACCTGAATTATTTTTAACAACAACATGTAAATTATCGTCGAGTTCATCTTCAACATTAACAAATCTTCGTCAACGTTCAACAACAGATTCATCGTATTTAACCATTATTTCAATTATACTTGGTATATTAATCGCTTTAACTTCAACTTGTCTCATATTATTTTTACTCGGTGTTAAGTAAGAAAGCTGACAATCCTATTAGCAAAGTTTTTTTTGCTTGATAACTATTCAATACTTTTAGATTTCGATTTCATTATAAATTAAAATATCGTCATCGTCGCACAACAGACGTGAACAGCGTGAATAGTAGCATACGAGAAACCAACAACAGTGACGTGACTTTTATCAAAGCGACAAATACAAATGGCAACTTTGGAAGCAATAGTAGTAATGGCGGCGCCGACGGATGTACATCATTCTCGAGTGTAAGAATTATGTAATATTTATTACACGATAGATATATTGAGTAGAGAATAATAGGCAATCTAAGTTAATTGTTGCCAAGTGGGATAAATGTAATGAATTCAAAACGGATGTTTGAAGAGAGATGGATAGTAGAGCCTGTTTACATAAAAGCTCATCTTATCTTGAGAATAAATAGATAAAAAGGACAAAAGAATCTCTAACAGATGGATCATGGTCAATCAAAGAAGAAGAAAAAAAACCGCTTATCATTTGGCAGATTGGAAAATATTGATACGAAAAAGAAAATTTAATATAAATAAAAAAAGAGAACGAGAAACATATTTGGTTTTTTATTTTGATTCATCGATACACTTGAACGACTAAACAATCGATTAGAATTTTTTATTTTGCATAAATATTAAGATTATCGTCTTCTGAGAAATTCAATTTTTTTTTATATTACGTATTCGTATTAGAAGAAGGAAATCGGAAGTTCTTGAATAAATTACTAAATGTAATCTAATAAAGTGCATATTTAACTATAGAGAGAAAAAAAAGAATTTAATGCATAGCTATACGTTTTTTTCCTTCTTCTAGGTATTACCTATAGCATATGAATGTTCAACTCCTTTAACAACTACAACCATGGCTAATAATCAATATCCATCATTAACAATGACAAATAATTCGAATTTAAGTCTTCACATGATACATAGTCAACAATATCGAACATCTAATGAAACGTCACTATCTCATCTTGATTCAACAAATATTTATGAAGAGATTCGTCCACCATTTGATCGTCATTCGTGTTGCTGTTGTTGCTCATGTACTCTCGCACATTATCAAAAACAACACTGTATTTCAAGTAACCATCAATTAACACCACATTATTATACATGTGAACCACAACAGCCATCATCGAATATTGTATGTCAAACTTGTTTAATAGAATCTTTTCATCGAAAACAAAATTCAACATTAACCATGAACTGTGTTTGCCGCAATTTCTTTGTACCGATCAAATAGACATATAGCTAAATTATATACATACATATATATATATATTAATATTAGTCGATACAGATGATTGTAACCTGTTTGATCGAGCATATATATCTATAAATATGTGTGTGACATGGCATACATTGTGGATTCTTTTTTTCGTGTACTTCGTTTATGAAGTTTGGCCATTGTTCCTGACCTCCTGCTGCACGTGACTACACTTATGCTTGTCCTCTTGTTACCGCTGCTCATTTGAACGGAATGAAGAGATTTATAATCTGCTGCACATATACATATACGTATGCAAACGTCTTTGGTGAGCGGAAACGCTATATGAATAATTATAATGATAATAACCTTGAAAAGAAATACTAAAAAAGCAATCGACCATACTTAACGAATTGAAGTTGAAGAAAAAAAAGGCATCGTATGACAAAACGTTTAATCATCATTAAGGAATATAGATGAATAGTTATGATTGTCTCAAAATTCAATTCGTTTTCTTCTTCTTTTTTTTTTATAAATCTTACTTTTTTCTCTATGAAAATTTATATTTGCAATAAATGATTGATCTGGTCAATTAAACAAAATTGGTTTTAGTTGAATTCAACAGCGTTAGAGAGAGAGAGAGAGAGAGATTCTCACAATGTTCTATTTTAGGAGTTTTACAATAAAAAACGTTGTTGACAAAAAAAATAAACATACTAAGTTTTTCCTCAAAACTATCAGCTTTAACTGAATTGGTAATATTTAGACTTTTCTTCTCTAAAAGTAAAGCACATTAAGAAATGATTGTATTTTAATTGCTTCATTTACTTGGATTTTATTCACATGTTCAGCCTATGTATTGCTTAAAAAAACCAGCTGCTCTGTTTTACACTCTAAATGATCCATGTGCCACTTCGAAGTTGAAGCGGCTTCAGTGAAATTTATTGTGTAATATCAAGAAAACTGATTTAGTGGGTCATTTGTTTTCTGTCATCAATAAAATAACTCTTTCACAGTCCAAAGTTTCTTTTATCTGTTTAATATTAATGACTCAAACAGTAGCTGTCAGGTAACATATAAGATAGGTACTATTCAGTTTCTTTTCATAGTAGAAATATATTTATAAAATGTCGAATAACAAAAGAGTCATTCAGATCATAGTGATCGCAAAAAATTTATCGGAAGGGATATCTGAAACACTCTTTACATATTCTTCGAATTATTTTTACTAGTGTAGACAAAACATGCGAAAAAACGATAGTATTTCATCGACTATTATGAACACGAATTAAGTAAAATAATTTGTCTGATAGCAAGTTATAAGTTGAAGTCCGATTTTGAACACCTACATTTATGACAATGAATTGGAGCTTGTAGAAAAAAAATAATTGAAGTTATAGAGCTGTTATAACGTTAGTAAGCGATTTTAGTTTGTCGATTTTCACTAAAATGTATTTGTAGAGATTGTAGAATTAAACAAGGAAAACTAATCTGTTGAAATTACACTTTTTTAAAAATTCAAATGAATACAACTTGTAATAATATACATTCATAAGGGACTATATACTAGCTTACGATAATTTATAGTCTTTAATATTTCACATCAGTCAAAGAAACAGATAGTGAACTGTATAACCATCTGAAATTCACTTCTTACATGGCTGCCATTGTTTAGCTTAGTCTCTTCATAACCGGAAGCTTGACTTATAGTAAAATGTCATTCCTTTAATTGTACAGCGTTTGGCTATCTCTCTTAATGAACAAACTGCTGGAATCGGACGCTTTGATTTTTTTATTAAGAACTGAAAATAATCTTTGTCTATCTTCTATACCTGTTCGCATCAATGCATCACTTTACGTTTCAAATAAAATTTGCTGTCTACGGACAGTTTACAACAATGAAAGACGATACAAAAAATATATTAGAGCCAGTAATTTAAAACATAATAAAAAGAAATTGGTACCAACCTGAAGGTTTGTCAGTTTTCATTGTAGTAGGTTATTAATCGATTGAATTTGGCAATGTACTACTAGTTGTAACTTTAATGTGGTGTGATATTTTGTCTCGAATTACGTTTGCAGAAATGTAACGCACACTTATTCAACGAAGGATTTGCAGTTAAAAGATTTTATTCTTGAATGGTAGTGAACAAATTAGCTGAAAAATAGGATAAAAAACAATCAACAAGGATTAGATTTAGTGACAAAAACTAAGACCTTTTTCAATTAAGTGGTGTTCAGTAATCCCTCTTGATTTTTGTCGATATAGTATATACACAATCCATCGCTTATTAAAATGGCATTTGAGTTGCTAAGCATAAACTCATTTCCATAATCCAATGAAAAAAAATCATATTTTTTTCTTATTAAAATTGATATTTTCTTCTCAATAAAATGAAGTCAACATGGCGTAGTTCATAAAGAAAAAAATATTTTGGCACAATTAAAAGGTAATAGTAGATTTTCGTTCAATAAAAACTTAGAAAATTTGAGCACGATTTAACAGCCATGATGAAATATACTAGTCAAAACTTTATTTCACTGTCAGCAGTCAGAGCAGCTGTAACGTCTTTGTATCTATCACAATCACCGATCTCACTGTTTTGTATTCAGTCAGTCTTGGACATGAAGTAATATCACGCCTAAATGAAATCTATGTGAATTAAGTTACACAATAAAGAGACTACTTTGCCCTACAAATTTATCGTTGCATGACGATATATATTAATTTCTTTTTATGAGTATCTCAGCATTGATTTCAATAGGACACTTGCGAATAAAATAAAAGAAATGCGATCAACATTTAGCTCTCATAGAATCTTAAGAGTTATTAAAAATCTAATCATTGGGCAACTTATATTTTTCATTTGACAAGTATATTTTTGCATATAACGTGTAACAGATTGTATTCGTTTATTAAATTTAGAGTAAGTTATCATATAAATATCGATTGCATTCTTTGTTGTATTGTGATTTACATTCAACATTCTTTTGAAAATGCATCTTTTATCAGTCGCTAATTTAATGTTCTTCATTGCTTTGATCATGACTCTTCATGGCAAATTAATTCAAAAACGGGATGTTGCCGAAACAAATGTTGTACCTTCGAATAATCGCACTGATCATCATCAAGTCAATCAGCTCATCACGAGTGCTGTTGGTGCGGGTCGCAGAGCACTACATCGTAAACTGTTTTTCAAAAAAAAATAACCACATATGGAATTTATTTTTATTTCATTAATAAAAGGAAATTTTGCATACGAGTAATTAAAGATTAAATTTTCATCTAAAACTCATAATGCGTTGAAACTCATAAAAATTAACTTTAAAATCTTTGTCTAAAATATAAAATGTAGCACAGAGTTAAATAAAAAATACTTTTCATAGTATTAAAGAAGAACAAAATGATTCTATACCTATATCAGCTTCGCGCATCATTTCATCAATATCTTCATCTGTAATTCTTTCACCTAAATTTGTCATTATTTCTCGTAAATCTTTTGTTTCTATATAGCCATCATTATTTTGATCGAATAAATTAAATGCATCTTTTAAATTATCTTCTGCTGTAATATTTTTCTTAATAAATGTTAACATAAAACTGAGATACTCTTCAAATTCGATAGTTCCTAAAAGAGAAAAAAAGGTTAAAATGTATTCTCTTAGAATCAACGAAAAATATTTACCTGATTTATCCATATCAAGCTGATTAATAAGTGTAGTCAGTTCACTCTCAGGAACATTGTAACCAAGATCTGCGAGCACTTTACTAAAATGCAAGATGAGCTCAATCGAATTTATTCAATATTGTTCGAATTGTAGTTCAAGTAAAGTTATTTATGAAGTTAAACATTCTATACACGTTTTGGCTCCTTCCATTAAATATATTTCTAGACGTGTGAAATTCAATTTTTCGCAAAAATATATCTCAGTCTGATGTTAACTGGTTATTATAATAGTAAGAATTTCGCACGAGTATCTACCATATGAATGAATAGTTTTGTTTTTCAAAGTTTTTAAATACGAATCTTTCTTCGCGCATATCGGTAAAAATTTGCTGCATTCGTTATTCTTGACTCTGTTGTAATAGAAGAATATTTGATCGAAATCAACTTCGGTGTACTTGATGCGAAAGAATGCAATCGGTTGTACTTAGAGGTGTCAGCCGAGGTGCTCATCGGCGGCGACTTTAAAAATTTTGATTTATCTTTTAATGCTCAGTGGCAGCTGACTCGAATATTTTGGCTGCACGGCGGCGGCGGCGGCTGGAAGGTTAAAAAAGCACTAGTTTTGTGAACAAGAACAGTCTGTCTATTGCAATATCCTACCGTTAGTATTTTCAAACAAATATGTGAAACGACTTTATTTTACATCTTGACATAATAAATAAAGTACATTTAAATAAATTAGGGATACACCAATTCCTAGTACATGGTCAGAAAGATGATATTTTTGCCTGATGAAGAATGCAATCATCCGCTTATTTCATAGATCAATCAAGATTAATTTTTTCGCTCCATCCGAAGCTGCAGTCGAAATTTATGAAAGATTTTAACAAGGCTTCGGATTTTACCTGGACTTCACATAAAATTAGAATTCGTAAGTTTTGGGCGCTTAAATTCTGCGAAATCCAACTCAATTTCAGACTTGCCGTTTGTACTAGGCAAAATTTAAGAATATATTTGAAGAGAGCATTCAAAACTGAACAGAAAAAATATGAAAAAAAGATGCTCGGTCGATAACTCTCAATACTGAAAACAAGCAAACATTAGATCAAAAATTCCAGGAATTGTTTTTTCCCCTGTATAAAAAGAACATGCTCGTCATTGGCAGTTATCAACCGAGCATCTTTTTTTCATATTATTTCTGTTCAGTTTTGAACGCTCTCTTTAAATCTATTCTTAGATTTTGTTAGTGGCGGAGCCAGGATTTTGCACTGCGAGGGGTTGGTGAGGGTCGGCTAAAAATTACCTAAGGGAACTCAAACCCTCTCAGCCACCCCGTGGATCCGCCACTAGATTTTGTCTAATACAAACTGCAAGTCTGAAATTGAATTAGATTTCACAGCATTTGACCCAACAAAATTTGAAAATTCTAATTTTGTGTAAAATCCACCCTAGTCAAACATCTTTTAGGATGCGCATGACATACTTGATGATCTTGAGCAAGAAAGTCATGCGCTATGGACACATCTTGAAATATTTCTTGACATGCGGATAATAAGAGAAATTTTTGTAAAAAAAGGCATCCAAATCGAAGATTTTTCTTCTATAAATGAGCATTGTTTGCAGAAAAAACGTTGCTACCTATACCAAAAATTTTTATAATTTTTTTGTGCACATGCGCATGATCTTCTTGAACTTCTTGGGCAAGATAGTCCTGCGCTATGGACACATCTTGAGTTCAAGTCTTGTCAAGCGCTTGAAAAAAAAGTTCGACTAGGGCACTTAAAATCCGAAGCATGTTTTAAAATCTTTCATAAATTCGGACTATGGTTTCAGAGAAGGCGAAAAAGCTGATCTTGACTGCTCTATGGAATCAGCGGACAACTGTGTTCTTCATCAGACAAAAATGTCATCTATCAGACCATGTACGAGGAATTGGTGTATCTCTATATATCATATTGAGATGAAAAATGAATAAAAACATCGAAATTCATTAAAAAATGAAAATATAAATAAAAATTGTCGGTATCAATGATAGGGGTCGGCGGCGGCGGCTGTAATAAAAGTACCTCAGCGGCGGTGGCTCAAAAAATCTTAAAATTTCCACTGCCGCGGCGGCAGCGGCTCAGCCGCATGGCTGGCACCTCTAGTTGTACTCTTAAACATACAACTAAAGGTCGAAAAAAATTAATTTTGAAAATACGATATATTCGAGCTGAAAAGTACTATTCGTTTAGTTAGAGCAGTAAAATATTGGTTACAACTGCTACCACCGTCGACCAACATATTAGGTAGCATATTAATCTTTGCTTAATATTTGGTAGCAAAACCAGCGGTTTGATATTATAGAAGACTGAAAACGCAGAGCTTAGAAAATGAAAGACGGGTGAATTTTGGTGGTGATGTTTATTTTCATCATTCATCAGTTATTGAAACGATATCGAGATTTATCGGAACATTTTAAACTGATTCGTTTATTTACCTGAATTGTTCTGTTGTTATTGAACCTGTCATTTCTTTATCAAATACAACAAAAGCATCACGTATTTGATCGATTTGTTCGGGACCAACTTCTGTAGTGGTTGAACCCGATCTTGTTGTCGATATAGATGAACGACTAGTAATCGAAGGGGAAAACGATTTTACATCATCATCATAATGTGAATTAACTGTCATATGGGATATTTCTTCGGAATGCAATGTATGATGATTTACTGCCATGTCTATTGATACAATCTCTTTTCTTGGAAATCTTTTCTTCGCGCGCTCTAAAAGTTAATCATATTTAAATAACAAACAAGTTTTTAAGTACATAGGCAATTCTTTTAAAAGAGATTGCTTTTTTTCTTATATTAATGGAATTTGAATACTACTAACAGCATTATTCACGATCAATCATAACTCGAAAATCTGTACTAAAAAAAGGCATTGCATACGAAATCGTTTTGTTCTCGTAGAAGATTAACTTTTTCAAATAGACGTACGGAATCTAAGAAGACAAATATCAACAGTATGGATCAAGTTCTATAAAAAGATTTTCTCTCGTGATTGGCGAAGCTAGTAAATATATTGTTCGTGATTAAATGAAAGATTAGTATTGGTGTTAAAGAATGTACGCTTTTATGGTGGAAAAAAAAGATTTCATTGTACAAGTTATAGAAAATATCTTAACAGAATTGCGTAGGCAAACACTGAATGTCTTCATCTAGTATCACCAAATATAGAGCAGAAGCACATTCTCTGGTATTTTAATCTCAACAATGACGTACATAAAATAAAATTACATAAATATAAAGTTTCTCATTCATCTCTGTACAACGTAAAAGACTGCATATAAAACAAGCCATTCTGTTTGGTAAAAAAATTGTCCTATCAAAACTTTCGATCACAATTATCGAATGCATAATTAGACACAGAGTTTTATTCATTTCGTAGTTATTTTCAATTTTGCAACATATGATTACATTTATCATTAATTCCAATTGTTTTGATTTCAAAACAAATGATAGCAAGTGCTTAATCTACATTCATTGCTTCTTCAAAATACTAGTCGATTAGTGCTAAAAAAAAGCTCTACCAAAATAAATCATTAAGTTCAAAGTACTAAGGTACTATTTTAGCATATTATTTTCATGTTTTTATGCAACGGCTAAACCTTAAGTAAATTTCTTAGAGCTCAAGTCAACATGCATTAAGTTGAATTTCATTTAGCTATATGTGCTTAGAGAATAAGAAGAAATAGAAAAGAAATCAGATCTGCTCTATTGATGAGCTATATTTATCTTGTATCTACAGCACAAAAAAAACGAAACCAGAGGGAAAAAATTGTATTCTAAAATCCCTAAAGACCTTGATTTACGATTGTTTATGGTGGAAATACTGTAGAAAAGTATAAAGCAGCTTTACAATCTTTCATACTGAGTTTTTTCGAGTCCTCGTTACTTTTTCTTCTTATCTTTTTCTTTTGCAATAGTTGCTTTCGAAAGTAAAAGGATGTCGCGAGCAACAAAACTGAAACAATATGCAGCGCAATGTCTTGCTGAACTTTTCGGAACATTTGTTCTAATGTTAATTGGTAATCTAGCTGTGGCACAATTCAAATTTACTAAACCCGATAGTGCGTTGGGTGTCAATATATCCTATGGAGCTGGAGTTTATATGGCTCTAATGATAGCTGGACCTATTTCAGGTTAGATATTCAAGAGAGAACTACATTTCTTTAATGCTTGGTTGAGAGGATTATCTTATGAACTCGAAGAGAATTATAATGAGCTGATTACTAATTAATCTTAGTATCAGCGTGGCTCTACATTAGAAGATACAATGATTTAATCTGCACAAGTATGATTTTGATCAGGTTTTGTTGTAATGTTATTCATCGATGAGTATAGAAATCTTAATTGATTTGATACGGTTAATATCGAGAGCGTCTGGCAGATAAAAATAACGTGCTTTATACTACTGTACATTTGTGTCGCATTAGAGTTAGTAGTTATCTTTCTCATGAAACATTGCGTTAGATAAAAATCTCAATTTCTTCTTGTCTGTTGAGAATAAATGTTTAACTTTCGACAATTTTTAAAGATCTAAAAGTAACATTTTTAGGTGAGCATCGACGAAGACGTCTGATTGCTTGCTTGCAAATAATGATCTGTAATTTTCTATCAACATTCAAGTTGTGCTTTACGTTCACCGTATTTTTTTCTGTTTTGACACAACAAGTGAACTTCGAAAATCTATTGCACATGGTAATAATAATAAATAAAGAGTAAAAGCTTCATTTTCTTATCAGTTCTAAGATAAAAACTATTACGCAAGAAGAAAACACTTCATTTATGACATCAATTGCCGCTAAAAATTTGTAATAAAAACTGTTAAATGCGTCAAACGCTACTCTTTCGATATACATATCGAATGGTGTATTCGTAATCCTGGAAGAAGTTCTGTAGACATAGGTTGCAGGAGAAGGATTTAGCCGTGTTGAATATCTATTTGGACAAATCATTTGAAAGATTACTACGTTCTATTCCTACAATTGCGAGTACATATTTAGAATAAATTTATGCAGTTATTTTTTATCGTAATCCTTATCCCATAGTTATCATCGACATGCTTGCTATCTGTAAAGCTTTTGTTGTTCTAAGATGAATTTCAAGGGATATCAAAATAGTGTATTACGTGTTTCGACAAGAATGAAAAATGGCACATTGTGCAAATAGTAAAACGTTTTGTTAACATTATCAATATAATTAGATTTTTTTGATTGTCATCCATTATGGTGGCATTGAATCAGAATGAGATTCAAGCAATATTGTGTTAATTCTAATCAATCTTATTTTGATCAAGAAATTTAAAACAATAAAAAGGTGCTTGCTAGAATAGTCATTTTTTCTCTGGTACACGTGGTTGGCCTTGATGTGCCTTTGAAATTAATTTTCATGTTATGACTTAGTTTCGTACTCTGTAGCATCCATTGGAATTTAATTTTATTATACAATCCTAAATATTATCGAAGTCAAATTATTTACAAGTGATTTTTACTCGTTGATGAACCATAGATAGCATGGCTCTTTTTAAGTTGAGTTGAATTTCTCAAATATTTTGCTATGTCTAAATGAATACATTGTTTCTATTCTTTCTATGATGAATAAATGAGGTATGTTCAGATTTCCGAAAAAGGAAATTACAGAAATTTCCTAAGCTTCCATCAACTCGATTACTACATAGCAAAGCAAATGAAAATTTTTTGAAAATATTTGAAAGTTTAGAAATTTCGGAATCTTCTGTAATTTCGGAAATTTCGCTTTGTACAGAATTTTGGAAATTTCAGAAATTTCGGAAATTGTATAATTTTGGGAAATACCAAACAATTTAGAACACAAGTACTGAAATTTCCAAAACTTCCGAAATTTCCTTTTTTGGAAGTCTGAACACTGCTGATTGTTAGGAATTATATGTGGTTCTTCTACTTCACGATTTTCTTGAAAATTTTATAATATTTCAATTTACTAGAGAACTTCCGTAGAGTTAATCTAAATTAATTTTACTTATCAGTTGAATCTGATATTAAGCTGCGCGAGAGAGAAACAGCTCTAGTAAAGATGCTTGCTTTGACACTCGATCATTGTCTATTAGTAAGAAATCTCATGAAAAGATAAAATATGTTTTATAATCGAATGATACTTTAAATCGCTAATTGGTTACTGATAGAATTCAGCCGATTTGTAATAAAAAGAAACGAGATCGATGCCCTTGCGTTCGGAAATAATCAACGTCCACTGTAATCCCCTAAGAAGATGCCGAAAAATCCTCACAACTTATCGTATAATATTGAAAACGGATGGAACACGAGAGCAGTATTCTGAACAAGATACTTTTCAGATTTTGTTCGTCATTTCCGTCGATCTCTTGTTAGCGATAACAGAAAGTTAGCCTCAATCTATTCATTAAAATTTGGAACCGGTTCGATTCAGAAAATTTAACCACATCGAAATATTACAACGGTACTCGTAATCAATGAACAAAATTTCGTATATCAAAAAATTAATTCTGAGAATATTCCGTACACGAGGAGAGGTGTTTCATGAGTCAAAAATGGCACTGTTAATCGCTGCAAAAACCAATTCACAGCATAAGGTTTTACTGACATTCAAACAGCTCACAGATAGATAAAACTAAAAATAATCGGAAGAAAAACAATGTGAACTCTTTCACGCATCTTTGATTTGATGGTAAAGAATAATATTACTACTAATAATTCACTTCGTTTTATTCTAGACAACGCTTAAACATTAATCTGAAAATGACAGAAGCATTCTGGTACAAAGATAGTTCAGAAATGCTTTGCTAACGATAGTTTTATCCATTTTATTACGTTTTCATCTGTAAATTAGAAAGAAGCTTCTGATGATGATCATCCTGTTCGGTTTTGGTTTCTAAACAGAGAAACATAAGTTTATTACTGTTTAGATGATATATCAGATGGATAGATGTTCTACATTGAGATACACAATACTTGGTTTAATTGTTTTTAAAAACAATGAGCTGTTTTGTTTTTCATTTTCTCCACAGTTCGTAATAGTATTTTAATCATTTCTATTTTTGAAAAACGATAATTTTGCTTCATTAGTATAATTAAACACAATCTATTTAATACAATACATTGTTTTCTTTGCACTTTTGAAAGATCAATCATTTCCATACATGTCAACATGCGCTACTAGAATCTCTTGATATGACGGATCCTTATCGTATTGAACAAAATATATCATGCTTATATTTTTTTACTTGTTGACTCTATGTGGCAATTGCATATAAAAATCAATAATATTAGTTGTATTACAAAGTGTAAGAAAAAAGAGCATGAATCACACTATAACGCATTTCGATCTCTATATTTAATTATTGAACTAAAATTAACTTTATTTGCTAACTTTTAACTTTATCAACAAATCTAGTTGATCACTAATGACTATTTATGTTATTTATTGATCATTTGTTCAGTCTTCCGAGTTGATCATTATTTAACTTCCGAATCAAACATTTAATTTAGTTTTATCACTAGCTCCTGATTACTTGAATTGCAAATCTATATAATTACTTTAATTATCGAATCATTTAATTCTTAATATTTTGAATTTTTTTTCTAGGTGCTCACCTTAATCCAGCGGTAACTCTCGGACTGCTTTCACTACGTAAAATGGAAGTAGTTCAAAGTCTGTTCTATATTGTTGGTCAAATTATGGGTGCTTTTCTTGCTTCGGCAGTGGTTTTTATTGTTTATTACAGTCAAATTAATATCTATGATGGCGGTATTCGACAAATTGAAGGTCCTAACGCAACAGTAGATATCTTTTACACAGTACCAGCACCAGGCATTCCCAATTGGAATTGTCTAGTAGATGCCATGGTAGGTACTACTCTTTTGCTTATTTTTATAATGGCAGTTGGCAATGATTATAATAATTTAATATCCAATGCAGCTAAACCATTTTCTTTTGCACTATTGGTAACGGCACTTGGCTTGGCGATGAGTTTCAATTGTGGAAATCCAATTAATCCAGTTTGGAACAATGATATTTCATTTTCTTTTTTATATGACAGTTATTTTTATCTTTTCTAGGCACGTGATTTTGGTCCGCGCCTATTTACTGCTTGTGTTTACGGTGGACACGTATTTCGTGTGAATAATTATTATTTTTGGACAGCTATTGTTGGTCCTATCATTGGTGCTATTACTGGTGTTTGGATTTATGAAGGTTATTTAATTTTAATGAAAAGATATGCTAATTTATCTGGTATTATTCATATTGATGCTGTAGAACAACTGGATCAAAGAGAAAATGAAAAATCATATCAGATTGACAAACAAGTATCTTCTGAAAGTAGTTGACTTTAAAAAGTTTTTCTCTTTTCGGTTTATGTAACATATTTTTTCATCGTTTACAGCTATGGTGTCAATGTAAAACATGGCACTTCTGTTATGCATCATTTTTTATGTGAAGGGATTCAAATTATTGTTGCGAAAGGCTTACTTGTCAAAAAAGCAATGCTAATAGTTCTTGTTTTATTAAAAATATAAATGCATGTATATATTTGTGAACGATACGGTTAAATACAAAACATATAATTGTCTACGGTAACATACCGAGAAGACGTCTATCTAGAACTAAATAGTTCTACTGTTGGAAGCCTTACGACCTTGTCTTATACGATTGTCGGAACGAAAGGAAAAGAAAAAGAAAAACAAGCACGAGCGCGACAAGAAGAAAATATTCTTATGTGCATTCTTGGGCTCTGTTCTTCGACTATAGTATTGTATTTGTCGGAAGCACATACAAAAATAAGTATATCTAAATAAGTGTAAAATGGCAAAAGTTAAGGAGCTCCAACAATATTCGGCTCAATGTTTAGCTGAATTTTTTTCAACGTTTATGTTGATATTAATCGGCGAAGCATCTATTGCACAATATAAATTCTCACCACCTGAACATCGTTCAATAGTTGCAGTTAATCTTTCATTTGGCATTGGAGTTTATACGGGTATTTGTTGTTGGTGCTCTTGTTTCTTTTAATAAATCTATATTTCTATTATTAATTATCGGAAACACAAATATGTAATTTTAAGAGAGGATAATTACTGATGTTAGTTCAGTAGAGTAGTGACAACAACTTAATTTGCGGTAGAATTCGGAATAAGTAGTCACTTGTTGATTTGTTTTTGCAGATTAGATAATATTTTCTTTTCCATTCAATAGTGAATAAAACATACGAAATATCGATCAATATATGTTTATCTTTCCCTAGAACGATAATTATTTTCTTGATTCATACCAATAAAATTGCTGCAGACTGAGTATGACATTTATGGTAAAATGCTCTAAAATCTATAATTGATATCGCTGTTAAGATTGAGATAATTTAATTGTAGATAGTATTATTCTATATATTTGTAGCTAACGCGATTTGCCTATTTCTGCTTTTAGAAATGAACATACACTCAATTTTCTTGTCAGGAAATCTTGTCTTGTACTGCTGTTGTCACCTACATCAGTCATTTAGACGTATTTATCAGAATGAATTCTTTACTTCTAACGTTGCACACTAAAAATATGCATCCCAGAGAATATTTATTGTTATGTGTTTTCTATTATTTGCTTTGTTCTGGGTATTAGTATACTAAAAATGAATTATTGTTGATCTTACGAAATTAATTTTGTTTATTCTGTTTTGATTAACTGAATTTTTTTTTCAACGTGATGACCTTATAGTTTGTATAAACTGTTCTTTCTAACTAATATTTGATTGCCATATTAAGTAGACTGATTCTAGAAATAACATTGTTGAATAAAATTTATTTTCAATGTAAAAAATTCATTCTGTGATTTTAAATTTCAACATTTTTATAAATTTATGTTGCAAAACTTTCATATTCAACATAGAATGCTTGCTTTTGTTTGATTGTTACTTTTTTTTCATCCTGAAATCTTGAATTTTTGTTTTAGCACTTATGATCGCAGGACCGATCAGTGGTAAAAAAAAGATATAGGAATTTCGTGCTTTGTCTTATGAATAAATTCTCTTTACACTTAGGTGCTCATTTAAATCCTGCCGTTAGTATTTCACTATTAACTCTTCGCAAGTTAAAACCAATACAATGTCTCTTCTATATTATTGGACAAATATTAGGAGCATTTTTCGGTGCTCTCTTTGTTTATTTTCTTTACTGGAGTTTATTTAATCGTTTTGATGGTAGCGTACGGCACATAGCAGGTCCACAAGGTACAGGTGATATATTCTTCACCATACCAGAAGATGGTGTGCACGGTTGGAATTTGTTTTTTGATCAAGTTGTTGGTACAGCCGTTTTAATGATTTTTATTGTGGCTCTGGGAAACGTAAGAGTGCATTTTATATACGTATAATATTGATGAATATCATTGATTTTATTTAGGATTTTAATCACATGATATCTGAAGTCGCGAAACCTTTTGCATTCGTTCTCATTATATTTGTAATAACTTCAGCATTTGCATGTAATTCAGGCGGTGCAATTAACCCTGTGCGTATAGAGTACAATACATATGAGAAAAACATCTCAATTTGTTGTTCTAGGCTCGTGATTTAGGTCCACGTTTATTTGCTGCTTTTATCTATGGTTGGAAGGAAGTCTTTCAAGCCAATAATTATTTTTTTTGGATCCCAATTGTTGGTCCAATAGTTGGAGCTATAATTGGTGTTTGGTTATACGAGGGTTATTCATTAATACTTAAACGTTTTTCTAATTTACCCAATGTTGTAAATATTGGTTCTATCGAAGTACATCCTCAAGTAAAACTAGTCGATGATGATAATCAATTAATGATTACGCATAAGCTTACAACAATACATAGTTAAGTATAATGAATGATTTAGATTTTTCTTTGCCATTTTGTAGTTTAGTAACAGTCATACTAAAATAATTTGTGAAAAGTATGTTTTTTTTTCTAATGGCATTTTTGTGTTTTTGCGCACATAAAACAAAGAATCCAACAAATACACGATCTTTATTTATTCAAAGAATGTGTTTTGAATTTGCTTTTTCTCTTCTCTTTTGTATTTCATATGCAAATAAAGAATTTCGTATAATAAAAGAAAATCTTAATCTATGCCTGCCCATTCAAATCCGTTTCAAATTATCTAAAGGATTAATTGTTCTATTCAATAAGAATTTCATTTTTTCATTAATCAATATTGTAAATAAATTTCATGGATTAAAATGAAATTAAAGAAAAAGACAGGCGCATATATATGCAGATATTTCAACAACAAAAACGAGATGCATAAAAATGCTAGAATATGTAAATAGAATTCGTATAAATAACTAGAAAAGAAAACAGCATATGGATAGAAATCTTTTAGTTAAAAATTAAAATAGATGATATTTCCATTTAGAATCCATTTAAAAGCAATTGTTTCTTTTTATGAATTCATATAGTAAAATAGATATAAATAGAACTTTTGCCAATAAATAAACGATAAATGATTAACTGAAATATTTAAAAGGGAGAAAAATGAACAGCATTTTCTAATTATATAAAAATAACTTTTTTGTTTTATTCAATTACACAAAAATTAAACAAAAATTGTATTTTGTGTCACATTTAATCCAGCGGGTCCGCGCGCACTTGTACTACGTGAATTGCGAAGTTTCCCTTTTGTTTGATTAGGATTAAATGTTTGTTTCGAATAATCATTATGTGTAACATTTGGTGACACATAAGAAGAATTACCACTATTGGAAGCATACGGTGGCCGAACAACGGTTAATATATTTTGAAAACGTTGTTTAGCTGTTTCGGAATGATGCTGTTTATTGGACTCAAGATTTCCATTAATAGCAAACGGAGTTTTTGAATTAAAATGAATAACTTCTGCACGTTTTATCTGTCTCACTGATGTATTAGCAGTCAATGGTCGAGTTTCGCGTTCTATTAAAGATTTATTTAAATTTATTTCATCATGTTCATCCGGTGTTTGCGTATTTGCGTATTTAAGTGAACTTGATCGATGAGTACTTAATTTTGAATTATGCGTTTGTTGTTGTTGTTGTTGATTATTGTTGTTGTTGTTTATTGTTGATGAAATGCCTGTTGCTTTTAGTTTAATTGATGAATGAAATTGTTGTCGAAGTGATATTGTATGAAGTAATGAACGTTGTCGATTAGTTGATGGTGAATTTATTGATGAGCTCGTGAGATTTAACGCTATATTACTATTTTCTAATGCTTCCGAGTCATATGTTCGATTATGAGAATCTTGTCTCGGTGATATTTGATTATAACCAGGGCGCATATGATCCGATGACATCTCCATTGATGAATTAACTGGCACGTCATGAGTTGGCTTAGGAAAATAAACTAAAGGTTTTTCGCGTTGTAACGTATATTTTCCACTTGAAATTTCATTTGATGAATGTTCAGCTGGTAGTGTTTGATTGAGAATATCAGGAAAGTGTGTTGCACTACGCGTCAAATGTGAACGTTGTGTAATAAAGGATTGTTGTTTTCTATTATTTAATTCTTGTCCGATTTGATGATGCGATAATGGAAGTGTAGAATTGTGAAGTATTTGTGTGTGTTGAATTGATGGTGAAATCGAATTCATACCGTTTGTACTAGGTGTTTTTTTCGATGTACGCTGTCGATGACGACGAAGTTTGGTGGCATTGGCTGTATGCTGTTGTTGAGATATTTCATTGTGATCGTCGAAAAATTGTATTTTATTAAAATCAGCAAAATACACTCGTGGTCGGCGAATTTCATTGTGCTGTTCGATAGGTTCAGGTAAGACAAAATGATTTTCTTCATGATCCATGGTAGTAACATGTGGCAGTTGATCATCGGGAATTTTATTTATTACTTGATTTGGTGGTGCTGGACTTGCAAATGTTGATAAATGAAGAGGTGTATTACGTGACAATGCAGTGCCTCTAAACAAAAACAAGCAACACTATTTTTCGAACAATTTAACAAGTTATAAAAGAGCAAAGTGTTTTCCACTGTTGATGTTCTTCTTACTTGATTAATCCCGGTAATGATTTGGCTTTTTTAATATGTCGATCAATAAACAGTTTTTTCGGCAAATCTAGATTTTCTAATTTTTGATATTGTTTGTTTGTACTATTATTATTATTATTATTAAATGGCCCATCGATTGTTGTTACACTACAAGGAACTATGGTTGGCGTCGGTACTAACGGCGGTGTTGGTGATTGAACAGGACTTTGTAAATGTTTTGTTTGATAATCATACGTATGAACAGGTGCTTGATAATGATGAATATCTGTTGTTAAACTAACACCATTGACATGCAACCAAACAGATGGTGGCATTGCTAAATGCGACTGTTCAAGAAACATCCTATTCGATGTTGGCATTTGAATAGACCATTTCAAGATTACAAATGTATGTGTATGTTAGAGACGATTTCTTTCTTTTTTTTTTCGTTTGCTTTCTCTTTCTCTGTTTCTTTTTAGGTTTTGTTTTTTATTGAAGAAAAACTTAATAGAGAACGTTTTTTTTGTTGTTCATGGTGAAAAAAATACAGTACTTGCGTACATCAAAATTGGATGTCTGAGCACTTAAAAATAAATGATTACATATACAAATCGGGCACGAAAAAAAATACACAGCGTTTGACACACATAGAGGCATACTGATTTAGTTTTTACATATGATGATTAATAATTCATTTTCCCGGCTACTGATTTTATTATTATTAGTTTTGTCTGATGACGAAACTGTCGGTATATATCAATTGCAACGTGCTTGAACTTCGTACACCATAAAGTAAATTTAAAGTTGTTATTTTTATAGTTATTTGCGACCGTCACCACTTAGTTTCTATTTTTTTTTGTGATAAAGATTGATTTTTTTTGTAATAACAAACGAGTTCTCATTCAAGCTAATCCACAAGAAGTGACGTTGACAACATAAAGAAATCGGAAAGAAAAATCAATTGATTTCGTTTTTCCATGTATAAATTTAGACGTCAACTGATGTTCTTTTTTTCTGTTGACACTTACTAATCTTCCGCTGTGATGAAAAACACAATTCAATAAAGAAAATATATAGTACATCAACACAGTATTTTTTAACTTCACTAAAATTTGCTTATTTAAAATCGTATTCTCCTTTGTTCTTATATCAAAATAGATTTTTTAGCATTTCTCTAAAACTGAGTAATTTACATAATGCAACAAGTACAAAAAGCCATGAAATGATATTTAGAAATTAAAACGAGATGTATGGCTTCGAGATATTAATCATCAGATTCAATAGAATACATATAGTACATCTATTAGAAGTAAAACATTCGTTGATTATTAATGCAGTATAGATTAATGCCATATGGAAGTCATGCTGTTGATGACGTATATTTAAAATGATAGTATACAAGTATATTTGTCTTCGATGAATATTCAAAATGTTTCTATTCTATTAGGAAGGTACTTAGTAAAGACGTAATAGGTAAAATTCTTGAAAAATAACAATATTCAAACATTAAGAAACCTTACATACTAGCGCTATTCCATTGACGTTTTATTTATCGTAAAATCTAAGCTTATGGTTATTTTCTTATGCTTTCGAGTGTTTTAACAGCACAGCTATGCAGCGTAGTCACAGTAGAAAAATTTAAGAGAGCTAGAAAAAACAGTTGTCGTTTATTTATATCATGAGCTTTGAATGTGAGTACAATTCAAACCGGTTAAATTTGCTCGCTCTACGGATGTGCTCATCAGTGTGTGGTCTTCAGTTTATTTTCTTTCATTAAAAAGTATTCACTAGCGATTGTTTGTCGGCTGCACAAAATAATCATTTCCTTTTCCGTAACTGTTGATGAATTCATACTCAAAAGTTAATCAATTTGTGTTGCCATGATTTTCTATTACTATATGTTAGCACGAACTTGATAAGATCTTAAATCAAACAGATTATTGCTATTGTGTAAGATTATTTGATTCTAATTTTGAATATGAGCGATAGATTTCGTGTTACTCGCATTATGGAACTAGAAATAATAATCATATCATAATCAGTATGAGGAAGTAGTGAACATTATTGGAAGTGTTTTCTGTAATCTAACAAAATCATTATATATAAACATATTATTAACTTTATCATTATACGTATGGTCTAGAAATTTAACTATGTGTTTTTAGCCTCTGTCGTCAATTGTATTAATAGAATGGAGTAGATTTAAAATTGGGAGTTCTCTTTTCTAATGATTTTGCGATTGATTCGAGAATAACTGATAATTACGATTTGATTAACGATCGAATATTGACAATATTTCAGAACATGTAAGAATAGAACAAGTTTGAATATTTATGAAATACTCAACATAAAATTAGAATGATTCTCTGAAAGTATAACACTCTGTAAACGACTTGTTCTGTTTGATGTTATTTTTTCCTGGTAAATAAACCCATGACGATCAAAAGTTATTCGCGTACTATGATAGAAAAATGTTTATTTAGTTTAGTGTGATACCTCGATTGTTACATCTGGAAAACTGCGTAATTTTTTCTTGAGTCAATTGTATGTTTTAATATCTACTGGAGAATCTTAACTAGAAAGATTATCTCTACCGTATAGAAATATACAAGTATGTCAGAAAATCGAACTTTTCATAGCGAACAGAAATAATACCGTTGATTTTGACCTGCTATTGAACTCACGTGATATTCAAAAACCCAATATCAGCACACTCAATGGCAACTTCCTAGACATTGAAATAAACTTCACGACATTCCGTGAATGAAATATAATAGAATATTTGGCGATACTATTTTCAATAGAGAACTTCGCTAAAATCAATTTAGACACGGCTAGTAGAGTACTTTACCAGACATATTCTACTGAATGCAACCTTACTATACGAACAATCGTGTAAGCTGTTCCTTTTTCAAAAAAATACAATTGTTAGAATATGATCGTTTCATTAGACAAACTTATCATACGTTCATAGAAATTCGTTTTTTTGTTGTTGCTCTTTTGATACTCACTCTATGAATAGTTAAATGTATTGCCATTTACAGAACAGTAAGGCTATTGAGTTTGATCCGAATTTCACACAACTAAAAAGCTTCTACGAAAATTAAGGAGCAGCTATACAAAAATAAAAATAAAATGACACTTATATTTATTAGCAATTCTTTTTTTCTAATATTAGTTCTTTTCTTCGCCGGATCGAAAATACATAAGTGATAAACCGGTTTTGATAGGTTTCATGTCGTCTGCTCTTTTATTATACGTCTCGATTTAAAACAGAAAGTCATTTGTATGTAAATATGAAAGTTTTAACATCACTGAAAGATTAGTGTTTGAATATGTTATGATTATCGTGTAACTGTTTGAAAAGAAATCCATTTCGAAGATGTAAATACCTTTATCAAGGTTCTTTATGACAGAGTACTAGTGGAATTAGATAGGTGCCTCTTGAAAATGTCGTATACGCTAGACGAATTACAACGGCATTGCATTTATTACTATAAGAATGTGTATTAATCTTGATAAGAAAAATAGGTCATTATTATGTTGACAGCCATTTCAGCTTTATAAAATCAAAATCTGATAAATTTTACAATCCTCCTTTGTGTATGACCGTTGAGTTTATTTTCTAACTATATACATTTATTTTCTTAACAGTTAACAATACTTTCATTAGCAACACATAGTAATTTGAAACATTAGAAGCCAAAGAGAATACCGATAAATTTCCATGGTGCAATGTCCTTGAGCTTCCATCTATTACATCTGCATTCGGTTTTTCTTTCGCATTGATTTTTTGGATAAAGCTCTATATCATATGTTCTTAATAATCATACCATTGTCATTACTCTTCTCATTGATTTGATTGCTGAAATAACAATATATGCATGAGCGCTCTATTATTGCCCTTGGCAAAATAAATAAACGAAAACACCACATTTATTGACCCAGAACCATAATAGACACCAGAGCTTGTATCCACTTGATTAACTATTTGAATACATATATGCTAATCTTGTACGATCGGCGAGGATGAACAATAAAAGTATCATTTTATTCAAATTTATACATGTCTCATGCGAAATTGTATAATGTATCGTAGAGTATTCAGAATACTCATAACTTTGTTTAGTGTTTCTTGACTTGTACAACATGTTCTCGCTGAAAATATATCATTTGTAACAATTCACTCAATTGAAATTTAATTATCAAGTATATCAACATTTTAGTTTCCAATGAATATTATATAGAGATGTGCAGATGCAATTCTACGAAAAACCACCCTCCGTATACCCTGAACTACTGTCAGTAGATAGATCGGTGTGCTGGAAAAATGTCGAAAAGAAAAAATAAAAAAATAATGATGTCTCCAGTATATAGCGATTCTAATCACATATAGTTCATTGTTTTTTCTGATAATTTTACTAGTGTAGAATTTTAGCCAGTACTGATAGGGATGACTAACTATTGATACAAGTAAAATAAAAGAATTGAACAAAGAACTATTATATAGCTAAAATTGTATTGTCATCGCTGAAGCTTTCGCAATTTTAAATGATATAGTCCAAGCAAAATCTCCAGCTATTTCATTTATAAATTCAAATAAAGGAAAATCTCTACTAGTTGCCGATGAATATACTTTGAAAGTAAATAAAGCAACGACAACTACGAAGTATTGGATATGCACTATTAATGGTTGCGCAGCTAAAGTGCATATACTGATTCAAATAATCGATTGATAAAAACTGTTGGCGATCATAATCAACTTCCAGAAAAAGAAAAACTTGAGGTTCGTAAAGTTCATGAAAAAATAACATACTTTTCTTAATTCTTTTTTATATTTTTCTCAGTGCTAACATTTCAATTTAATTTCATACAATAAAACATGCACTGTACTATTTTAAATTCTCTAAAATATTAGCTGGCAATGTTTCGTGTCAATATAATTTTTTCGGCATTATGACGGCCAACCATTAGATCGAGAAGGAAACGAAAGATTTCAACAAAATTCATTTACTTCAAGACTAAACTATCCATTTTTATAATTCCTACCATTAGAGTCTATACAGAGTTCGTCACCTACAATCGTCTTCTTCTTTTCTTTTGTCTATCTACTGTCACAGATGATTATTTCTTATATTTAACACAGCAAAGAAAAATATAGACTAAAACAGCTGCATTTCTAGACGATATTTTATATTGATAAAATAAATTTGAAGCAATAAAATATAACAATGAATTTTTCTTTGGTGAAATTGTATATATTCTTTTTCTGTTAATAAATACTGGCAAAATATATGTAAATAAATAAAGACCTTTTTGTAACTAATAAGAGAAACATAAGCTGTTGTATAACCATTTGTCTTATACATAATGCAGTGTTGAAGACATTGTAGAATAAATAGATCCAAACAAAATAAATAAACAAATGAGAAATGACCTCTCCATCGACGACAAACAGAGTTCGTTAGAATTTATGGTATCTTATTCGAGTTTTCTATAGGAAAAAAACGACTAGTTTTTATAGAAACATTAGCAAATAGAAAAACTGCTTTATTAATTCATGATAAAAATTCTTATTGTAATTATTTTATATATTATTAAAAAACTTTTTTCTTCGGGTTATTTCTAAAATAAAAATATATCTGTCTTATGCAAGGGTTAGATTTTCTATGAGTTCGTTTTTAAATGAAGTCAATCAAAACACTATTAACGACCATGCAAACGACAATAAGGCCGATTGTTTTTGACAAGAAACGGTTGGCCATTTAAACTTACTTGACACATCTATAAAAGAGAAAAAAAAACATTCAATTTCGATAAAAAGAAGTGAGTCCTTTTTAGGAAGAACGATTCGCAGGGATAGTTTTCGTGAAAAAATATAGTTGAAACCTGTTAATGAGCTTTTCCTATCATTGATCTAACCAGCAATACTCTATGATTTACGAATAGAACATCGGAAATTGAATTTGGGTCTAGCTACCAGAATTTTCGATCCGCTAAGCTGTACTAGTGAAACACGTATGTGTGACTTTAATCTTAACAAGATATAAAAATAAATTCAACTGTTAGCCTCATAAAAATACCTTTGATGCGAAAACAGTACGGAGTTTTCTATTTTCTGCATACAAAAGTAAGCAATGAGTAGTCTTGTAAACTTACAGAACAATTAAAGCATTCGACATGATATGTGCCACCCAAAGCTTCAAGATATTTGTCACCAGGTTCAATAGGAAAATCGCAACTAGTACATTTAGCTTGAAACATTCGGCGGTAATCTATTTACAATAAAAAAAACAACAACAACAACATGAATGATAATAGTATTGCCATCAAGAAATAAGTCAAAGCTGTCGAATCAGATTAATGTTACCTTCGATACAATACGGTTCGCCTTCTTCAACATGAAATGATCCAGTACCAATCGATTTTTTGCATGCCGAACATGTAAAGCATTCTGGATGCCATGTTTTTTCAAGTGCATGAACACATTCCTTTTTGTAGTTTTAGAATTATTAAAATATCGAATTCTTATTTATTCATTCTATAAAGTTTTACTTTCAATATTGATTGTGAGCATTTAGCACAGCGCGGTGCAAGATATTGTTCAAAATCATTTTCACAATATAATTTGCCATTCTCTTCAACAAAACCACAATCAACCAAATTAGCTTTACACTTTGAACATGTGAAATGGTCTACACAATAACAACGGCCAATAGCAGAAATATATGGACCTCTATTAATAATATTCATGGATAACATATTAGATAAAAATTTGAAAAAAAAATATGTATACCTTATGCTTATTCCACATGAATGACATACAGCTGGCTGATTGCTATTGTCGTTACGAGTCAAAGATGCACTACCTTTACTACCTTTCATAATTACACGATTTCCTGAACGAGGTGTCCCTTGAATATTAACATTAAATGAAGGTTTATTAGTAGCTAGAAAATAAAGAGAAGCAAATATTTTAACTAGATAATCTTGTCTAGTATTGCGAGTGATTTCATTCGTTTTTGAATGAATCAAAACAGTACCATTCGGTTTTGGTTGTGTAGGTACAGGTGGAGCTGGAGATAATGATGGTGGCGATGCTATATATGGAGCTGGACGTGGTTGGCGTTGGGAGAAATCATGGGATGCTGATGCAGGCGGTGGTTTTGGCATCGATCGAGATGCTGTTGCTTTAAATTCATTGTAACTGTAAGCAAGACGTCAGATAAATAATATACATTAAGATAATTGTTCATTTACTTTTTTGGTTCTTCAATTTGATAGTCAGGTGTGATATTCATACTATAAATAAATAGAAAAATGAGAATTCTGAAATTATTGAATGAAATATAAATGAAATGCATAAGCATCGAGACAACGATCATTCACATGCCTGATTATTAGATATGCGTATGTGTATTCATAACCGGCAAAGAAAAAACAACGAACGAAAGCCAACACAATGAAGTGTTTCTCTTTTCAATAACTCATTTATAAATTCTCTTTTATTCCTTAAATTCAGATTTCGGAAAAAAATACTAAAAGAAAATTTCCATGATCAATGAAATAAAATAAAAAAAATGACAACGAATTTCTTTATTTCACTTACTCAGTAGGTGTATATCGAAAGCCTTTGATTGCTGATGTATTGACCTGTTTATTATTTGAACTACTGTCAATGAAAATAAAAATAAATTTCTTTTCGTTTTCTTTTTCATTGTAAAATTTTCTGTATTTATTTTTACTTCCGTGTTGAAGGTACGAGATCAGTTGATTCTTAGAATGATTAATATAACAAGTAAAACTAATAGAATAATTGAGAACAGCAACAAATCCTACCATTTGACTCATCAAGTCCTTTGACAAGAGCTCGAAATGCAGGTCCTTGTCGGCTTTGACTTTTGTTATTTGTTTGCACATCCATAGTTAAATATTTTTGTTGAAGTTCTTCGATATCACTAGTTCTGAGTACGGCAGGCGTTTTTTGATCATTACGATTATTGTTAGAATGCGAAGAAGGAGGGGAACTACACCCACATGCATACTAATGAACATGCTGAATTTTCATGCATCTATCTAGGTTTTCTAGCCATTACCTTTTAAGAGTACGTTCAAGTGTGTCCGTAACATTTTCCGCTGAATAGAGACCAATCGGTGTATTATGTGCTTGACTTAATAACGCTCGATTGTTCGATACTGGCATAGCAACCTATTTATTTCGACAAATCCAAATAATATAGTTAGTGCAATAAAAAACAATCATATTAACATTTATATAAATATTTTTTTTGATTCACATAAAAATTCGTAATGTCCATAAAGATTTTTTTGAATAGATCGATTGGCATTTGTGTGCCGAATATTAATATGATAGTTTTTTTGTATTTTGTTTTCAAAATAAGATAAGAGAAAAATATCGTACACAATCAATGATAGATGTGAATCAATCGAATAAAATCACGTATATGTCCGCCCATTTCGATAGAATTATAAATTAGGTATAAATATAATAGCATTATATATAATATATCACGCTTATGTTATCTCTATAAGCAATAGTTTCTCCAATAAGGGAGAAAATATATTCCTTAGATATATATGTATATATATATAGTGCTTTTTTTTCTCTTCCAATTATAGGATAAATATCTCTTACAGTGATGTCGCCTTATTATATAGACACAAGGTCTTTAGGGATTTTGCTCGGCATTATCTTATGATTTGAGTATCTCACAAGTATGAAACATGATGTTTGCTCAACTCTATTGGATATTATTTAAACTCATCATTCATTGTCGTAAACGGTTCGGAAATAGAATCAAAATCAATTGATCAGCAGGAGACTCAAAAACATGGCAAAACAGCACACCAACTGTGCTTGTTATTCTCATAAATACCTGTGGAGCAGCAGGTTGTGGTGGTAATGGTCGATTTTGAGATGGGGATGAAAAATTATTTTGTGTCGATTGCATCAATTGATGAGGTGGAAAATCCGCACGACTATTATAATCATTGGTATCAGGCGGTGCACCTCTATACATTAAATACTAAACGTAAATCATGCCTTCCTGTTATGGTTTCAACTAACCGTTGTAATGTTAATTCAAGTGTATTATTTTGTTGTTTGATTGTTTCTTGAGCATCTGGATGTTTCAGATGTTCAGTTGATGTTTGACCAATTTTAACAATATAATCATTAGCTTGCATGCCACACCGTTCAGCTAAACTACTTGGATTTACTTTTTGAATTTGTAATGGACAACCAAAATCCTTTCCGCCTAAATTAAAAAGATTTCGTCTGAAACAAAAAGTGAAAGATCTTTTGTTCTACCTTGCATCCGAAATCCCCAAGGTGTACTATTCGAATCCCGTTGCATTTTAACATTGAGCATCGTATACGACGTCATCCTTATGGCTTTGTATATTCCAATGGGTACTAAATTACGAAAATGTAAACGACAACGATTAGTCTTTATATATATATATATACATAGATAAGTAGATATAGATAAAATCAGAGCAAAAAATCATGATTGTATGTAACCTTAACCTTGACTGAATCAAATAGGGGAGTAGCTCAATAAAATAAAATAGGAGAAAAAGAAAAAAAACACAAACCATGGTCATAGAGATGCGCATAGTACTGTCCGATCAAGTTCACTGATAAAATAATTTTACAAGCATACCTACAAATTGATACAAGGTCTACATTCAATGCGTCAAAAGAAGGCATGAACTGGCCATGCGAAAATATATTATATCTTAGAGTAGGTAAGTCATTAATCGTATTCTTTTGATCAAACTGATAAAATGATTATCTTCTTTTCTTAAAAAAAAAACCGCGAAAGCCTATTGCAAAAGATATCTTAGTATTCTTCGTAGAGATAACTATATGTCTTTGTTTTTTTTTAACGAAAAAACTCTACAAACTATGCATCATGACATGCAGCCGAAAAAAGGCAAGAGGAGTCAAAAATCTTTGATTGGAGTGTTAGTTTCAATTGAACCGTTGAGGAAAAAAATGAGACATTTTACTGATTTCTTACCGTCCTGGCACATGCTTTACAAGCGTACGCGTCTGTTTGATTGACACACAATTATTTCTCTTTTAAACATAATTCAATAGTTATTTTCAAGTATATACCTTTTGTTCAAATTGACTTATGTTCTTCCTTTTTTTTCTTTCTTTCAATCGCTGTTGTATGATGCAAGTGGACGAGTTTCGACCTTGATCTATATGTATCGTAACCGTTCTGCACGATGATGATTTTACAAATGGTTGTTCTAGATCAGCTTCCTTCCACTTTATTGCACTACAACTCCGAGACGCGACTCTCTAGTTTCTTTTTCTGTTGTCGTTTTTGTTGTTGTTATTGGGGATGTTATTCTCTCTTTTCTATGACTGACAACACACAAGATGTCGTATAAAGCCACTAGCAACTGGTTTATTTTTTGCTTTTCACATGCTAGCATTACCTTCTACATGTCACAAGGGCGCAAAACAGGCACGCGTTATTATCATCATCGTCACTTTTTTCCTGTTCTTCTTTAATCTGTGTTACTGCAGTATATTTTATTTTGGTTGTTTATATCCACCATGGTAAACTGGTATTCTTCTATTACGAGAAAGAAAATATGCTCGACGTAGAAAGTATAGTAATAACTATCACATGCAGAGAGAGCGAGAACAAAATTGATTTAATAGTAATGAAAAATACTTTTTTGTTTTGTTTTATTCAATATTTATTTTTTATCAGAGTAACAAAATATCACTCAACTAAACATCTATTTTTTCATGATTAGTTGTAGATTCAAGTCCATTCACGTTTGATTCTTCGTCAATCTCACGTTGATTGTAGATTTCAGCAAGTGTCATTGGCTCAGTTATCTTTTCAGTACCAAATCCTAATTTATCTGAAAGAATCTTTGAACTTTCTAAATCTAATTTGTTAAATTCATAATTTGCAATTAAACGTCCTTTTCGTAAAAGAGCTGGATCAATTGTTGTTAAATCACAATTAAATGTTGCAATGATTTGTTGATGCATAGCATCACCTAATAAGCCATCAGATCTAGAGACAGAAGATGATGAAAAAATTTATCTACATTTGCAATACGATATAACTTACAAATTAAGAAGATTAGCGACAGCTTGCGACGGTATTAAACATTCATTTCGATCTTTAATGATATTTTCAGCATCTTCAATAATAAGAATTGAATCTTGATATTGCATGAGAAACGGTAAAAATTCTGGCGAGGAGATTTCTTTTGCCATATCTGGTGGCACGTAGATTAAGGTTTTTTCTTCGACTTCATGTATTAAATATCGAATGTAATGTGTTTTCCCTATGTGATTATAAATGAAAAAATATTTCTTTCATTTTCAAGTTTCTATTTTCTTACCGGAGCCTGGAACACCATGTAAAAGAACAATTCCTTTTCCTTCTTTTTTATTTAAATTTTTGCTAATTTTGTCATGAATTGAGACAAACTTTTTACCATAATGAAGCGCTAGATCAGTAATCAATGGCTTTTTAATATTAATACTATTGAGATAATAACCATGTTGATTACGACAAACCATTTGTAGTGTACATGATTTCGATGAGAATACAGTCATTTTGGCAAAAGTGCTTGCTAATTCCTGTACATACGTGTCATTTTCAGGTAGGTAGTAAAATGTGATTTGTGATGCAAGTAAAAAATAATCATCTGAGTGATCGGGTTTTAATTTATTTGGATTTTGTACGTCAGAACTGAAATATGCATCAGTGATCTCAATCATGATCCCATTTCCTAAATCACAAAAACGTGCATCGACGTACATTTGTTTTGTGCTTCGATTATAATTTCGAGATATACGATCTGTATTTAAGTCATGTTTTAATTCATCACGAATATAATTAACAATCGTTGTTGCATGTAACAATGCACTTGTATCATCAGCAGTACAATATAATGAACATGGAAAGGCATGATATTTAGCAAGAAATAGTCGAACTGATGGTGTATTACCACAATTATTTGGTGGACCAAGTGAAAGTAATGCTTCCATTGGCATATCTGGTAGTGATCCTACATACTTAGAATGTTTATTGTGTTCATCAGTTGTTGCTTCAATTTTTTCAGGCATTTTTTCTGTGAGGAGAAATAAAAGAATAGAGTAAAATGTGTACTAGATAGGAAAAAGTCATGCATTTTTATAGCACAACAAAAGTTATTACATTTATTTCAAAATCATTGGGCAAGAATAGAAAACATAAAGAAAAGAATACGAATGTAACGTGCGTGGATAGAGATTGATTCATTCTAACGCTGCACTGATTCATGTGTTCTGTTTCAGCGCTTGTTAGTTATATGAGTCATTTTGAAAATGATATATTCATCTATATATAGTTGAATGGATTAATCGATATTTACTATATTACTTTTAAAATACCTGAAAGATTTTACATCAGCCATATATGAGGTTTACTGTAGTATCGTGCTTTGATTTTTTTATTCATTTCTACTGTTGTCATGAAGCCGTACTTTATATACATAATCAATTATTCGATGACGTTTTACAAGTGAATTTGTTTTTCTATCAGCCGTAACAGTTGAGAACGTATCGACCTGGTTGAGTTTGTTTTAAATTTTTAGTCAAAACGATTACTGCATTATTTTGAAAAGTTATGGAAACATATGAGAAAAAATAAATATTTGTTAAAATATGACGTATGTTCTAATTCATATTGACATGAGATGGTAAAATGTAGTCATTAGAAAAATAACTGGAAAACAGATACACAGATTTTATTTTGTTTTTACTAAAATATATAAAATCGAAATTACTCAATAGAATATGTTGCTGATATTGTTTGTGAACGTCGAAGTTCATCAATAACAACATTTAAATCACGTTGTTTAGATTTTTTGTTTTTTTCTTTGTCGTGTCCTACAGAAATGACTTGTTTTTGTTCTTGTAGCTTGATAGTTGATGATAGGAAGAAGAATTGAAATGGTAATTTTTTATATTGACGTTTGTTAAATGCTATTTGAGTGAAATGTTTTTTTTTACAAAAACCAAATTTATTATATAAAAAACCTTGCCGTTGAGCTTTACAATCTGATATTCGGCAGAATACACGCCAATGATGACCATCCCATAGCCGACGATATGACCTTTACGAGTAAGACCAATATCACCTTTTATTGGTGATCCTACGTCTAATACAATAGATTGTGACATTTACTTGCGCAACTTAGATCGACAAAAATATGTTGATTGGCGCGTCTCATAATTCTTGATGAGCAAGCTAAGAGACGGCGTTAGTATGATTCACGTTGAACGTCATGATTGAATACAATTCAAGAAAATTTATACCAACATTATTTTTCATTCGAACAAATTGAATACAAATTATAGTTTTCATATTTAAACAATACGACACATAGACAGCTGATTTACACATCGTAATTTAGAGTAAACCAAGCGCCAATGTTTTACAACCCTATATAATTAGATTATGTCATTTGTACAGTGTACTATGCTACAGCGAATAGCTGTGCTCAGTAGTCTGAATAACCAGTTATTATTTCTAATGAACCAAGTATGTTTTCAAATTATCAATCATTTTACTGTGAAAATCTTCGGAATTATCTGTAATAAACTAGCTATCTCTTTTGTCGATCAAAATTTGTGTGCTTTTTTAGGAAAAATATCACCGAACTGTTTCTTGCCAATATGGAAGGATCAAAAATCCATTTAATGAGATCAATAATCTACTATTCACTACTTCTTAAGCAAGCCACAACTTTCTTCATTCAAAAACATATCCACATTATTAAAAAATAAATGTGGAAACTTCGGATTTCATCCGAGAGTTATGTGTACTGCAAAAAGTGCATGGGACATATGAGTCATTCTAGAATGTCTGAACACCAAAATTATCATGAGAAACTAGGCAATT